TCTTGTTCTCAAATGCAATCTTGTTTTTTTTAATATATCAAGTAAAAGTCCACCTTAAATGAGTAAATTCATAGATATAAAAGTAAGCAGTACATTATTATGCCCCTCTTTAGAGAAGTAAGGATATATTGCTATGCATTTGTCAGAATGTCAGTATGTTGGTTGGTCTGTAGACAAAATGGTTTCGGATCAATAACTAAAGAATGCTTATGCCAAGGAATTTGGCATGGGGATTGTTCATGACCAGAGATGCCCCTTATTATACCCTCGAAACGAAGTTTGGGGGGTATATAGGAGTCACTCGGTGGTTGGTCGGTCGGACAGTCCAGCGGTCCGTTGCATTTTCCTTGTCTGGAGTATAACTTGAAGGCTAATGATTGGAATTCAATACAACTTCATACAATGATCAAGCACATTGAGAGGAAGTGCAGTGCACAGAAACCATAACTATATCTTGACTAATTACAGAGTTATTGCCCTTTGTTACTTTTCCTTGTCTGGAGCATAACTTGAAAACTACTGGTTGGAATTCAATATAACTTTCATACAATGTACAATGGTCAAGCACAATAAGAGGAAGTGCAATGCACAAGAACCATAACTCTATCTAAGGTAATTACAGAGTTATTGCCCTTTGTTACTTTTCCATTGCTTTTTTTGTCCAGAGTATAACTTGAAGACTAATGGTTGGAATTCAATACAACTTCATACAATGATCAAGCACATTTAGAGGAAGTGCAGTGCACAGAAACCATAACTCTTTCTTGACTCATTTAAGAGTTTTTGCCCTTTGTTAGCTTGACTATACGAAGTATATGGAGAGCTGTCCTACTCGCCCCGGCGTCGGCGTCCACGTCCGCGTCCAGATTTCAGATTAAAGTTTTGGTGCAGTAAAATATTTTTCACTATAACTTTGTCATTTCTTAAAGTATCAACTTCAAACTTCAAATATATGTTCCTTATCATCAACCACATCTTATGTGACAAGGTTCATAACTCTAGCACCAATAATTTTATATTTATCTCCCCTTGAACTTAGAATTTTCCTTAAAAAATACTATTTTTTACTGTTACTTCTTTATTTCTTAAGGGATCAACCTCATACTTCAAATATATGTACCTTATCATCATCCCCATCTTATGTGATAAGGTTCATAACTCTAGCACAAATATTTTCAGATTTATCACCCCTTGAACTTAGAATTTTCCTTAAAAAATACTATTTTTTACTGTTACTTATTATACCCCCAAAAACAAAGTTTGGGGGGGTATATAGGAGTCACCCGGTGGTCGGTTGGTAGGTCGGTCCAGATGTCCGTTGCATTTTCCTTGTCCGGACCATAACTTTAAGACTAATAGTTGGAATTCAATATAACTACATACAATGGTCAAGCACATTGAGAGGAAGTGCAGTGCACAAGAACCATAACTCTATCTTGACTAATTACAGAGTTATTGCCCTTTGTTACTTTTCCTTGTCCGGGGCATAACTTGAAAACTACTGGTTGGAATTCAAAACAACTTCATTCAATTGTCAAACACAATAAGGGGAAGTGCAGTGCACAAGAACCATAACTATATCTAAAGTAATTACAGAGTTACTGCCCTTTGTTACTTTTCCATTGCTTTCTTTTGTCCGGACCATAACTTGAAGACTAATGGTTGGAATTCAATATAACTACATACAATGGTCAAGCACATTGAGAGGAAGTGCAGTGCACAAGAACCATAACTCTATCTTGACTAATTACAGAGTAACTGCCCTTTGTTACTTTTCCTTGTCCGGGGCATAACTTGAAAACTACTGGTTGGAATTCAAAACAACTTCATACAATTGTCAAACACAATAAGGGGAAGTGCAGTGCACAAGAACCATAACTCTATCTAAAGTAATTACAGAGTTATTGCCCTTCGTTACTTTTCCATTGCTTTCTTTTGTCCGGACCATAACTTGAAGACTAATAGTTGGAATTCAATATAACTACATACAATGGTCAAGCACATTGAGAGGAAGTGCAGTGCACAAGAACCATAACTCTGTCTTGACTAATTACAGAGTAACTGCCCTTTGTTACTTTCCTTGTCCGGGGCATAACTTGAACACTACTGGTTTGAATTCAAAACAACTTCATACAATTGTCAAACACAATAAGGGGAAGTGCAGTGCACAAGAACCATAACTCTATCTAAAGTAATTACAGAGTTATTGCCCTTTGTTACTTTTCCATTGCTTTCTTTTGTCCGGACCATAACTTGAAGACTAATAGTTGGAATTCAATATAACTACATACAATGGTCAAGCACATTGAGAGGAAGTGCAGTGCACAAGAACCATAACTCTATCTTGACTTATTACAGAGTTATTGCCCTTTGTTACTTTTCCTTGTCCGGGGCATAACTTGAAAACTACTGGTTGGAATTCAAAACAACTTCGTACAATTGTCAAACACAGTAAGGGGAAGTGCAGTGCATAAGAACCATAACTCTATCTAAAGTAATTACAGAGTTATTGCCCTTTGTTACTTTTCCATTGCTTTCTTTTGTCCGGACCATAACTTGAAGACTAATTGTTGGAATTCATTATAACTTCATACAATGGTCAAGCACATTGACAGGAAGTGCAGTGCACAAGAACCATAACTCCATCTTGACTAATTACAGAGTTACTGCCCTTTGTTACTTTTCCATTGCTTTTTTTTGTCAGGAGCATAACTTGAAGACTAATGGTTGGAATTCAATATAACTTCATACAATGGTCAAGCACATTGAGAGAAAGTGCAGTGCACAAGAACCATAACTCCATCTTGACAAATAACAGAGTTATTGCCCTTTGTTACTTTTCCTTGTCCAGAGCATAACTTGAAAACTACTGTTTGGAATTCAGTACAACTTCATACAGTTGTCAAGGACATTAAAAGGAAGTGCAGTGCATAAGAGCCATAACTCCATTTTGACAAAATACAGAGTTACTGCCCTTTGATACTTTTCCTTGTCTGGAGCATAACTTTAAACTTACTGGGTGAAATTCAAAACAACTTCATACAATGGTCAAGCACAAAAAGAGGAAGTGCAGTGCACAAGAACTATAACTCCATATTCAGTATTTATAGAGTTATTGCCCTTTGTTCCTTTTCTTTGTCTTTATGGACTTATTACAGAGTAATTCAATAAAACTTCATCAATGGCCAACCACATTGAAAGGAAATGCAATATACAAGAACCACAACTATCTTTAATTGCCCACAACCATAACTCTATATTTCAATTCTTTTACAAGATATTCTGTTACTAGTAACATCCTCATTTCCGAAGCAGTCTTGTGGGGGTATTAATCACATTTAGTGATAGTTCTAGTTTATTTCTAAAGGGATCAACTTCATACTTCAAATATATGTAACTTATCATCATCCACATCTTATGTGGCAAGGTTCATAACTCTAGCACTAATATTGCAAGAATTATCTCCCCATAAACTTAGATTTTTTTACTAGAAAAATGTTATTTTTTACTATAACTTTTTTAGTTTTAAAGGTATCTACCTCAAACTTCAAATACTTATTCCTTATCATCAATTACATTTCATGTGACAATGTTCGTAACTCTTGAAGCAATATTTACAGATTTATCTTTCTTTGAACTTAGGATTTTCTTTAAGAAATATTATAACTTCTTTACTTTTTAAGGTATCTACTTCAAACTTCAAATATATATTTCTTATCATTACACACATGTTGTGTGAAAGGTTCATAACTCTAGCATGACTTTTTCTAGAATTATTCCCCTTGATCTTGGAATTTATGTTAACAAATGATATTTTTTTACTATAACTTAATACATAATTATACATAATTGGTTTTTCTTTCATAGTTTTGTCCTCCTTACTGCGTCCAGTATTTTATTAGTCGAGCTTGGCTGTCTCCTGTGACAGGTCTTGTTACTTTTTATTGTCAAGTGCATAACTTGAAAATTAATGGTTGGAATTCAATTAAACTTCATACAATGGTCAAGGGCAGTGAGATGAAGTGCAGTGCACAAGAACCATAACTCTATTTGGACAAATTACAGTTATTGCCCTTTGTTACTTTTTTTGTCCAGTGCATAACTTGAAAACTAGTAGTTGGAATTCAATACAACTTCATACAATGGTAAAGGGCAATGAGAGGAAGTGCAGTGTACAATAACCATAACTCCATCTTCAGTTTTTGTGGAGTTATTGCCCTTTGTTCTTTTTCCTTGTCCGGTGCATAACTTAAAAACTAATGTTTAATGCAACCTCATACAATGGTCAAGTGCAATGAGGGGAAGTGCAGTGTTCAAGAAGCGTAACTCTTTCTGGACTTATTACAGAGTAATTCAATAAAACTTCATCAATAGTCAACCACATTAAAAGGAAATGCAACATACAAGAACCACAACTATCTTTAATTGCCCACAACCATAACTCTTTTTTTTCAATTCTTTTGCAAGGTATTCTGTTACTAGTAACTAGTGACTAGTAACTTCCTCATTTCCAAAGCAGTCTTGCGGGGGTATTAATCACATTTAGTGATAGTTCTAGTTGTTTTTGAGGTCTTTAGGTCAAAGGTCAAAGTGACCTTGAATGTCAAAATGGTTTCCAATTAATTACTCAACAACTCATGGGACTTTGACCTTCAAACTTCACAGGTGCATTGGTCTTGGCCTGTAGATGACCTTATTGATTTTGAGGTCAGGGGTCAAAGGTCAAGGTTAAGGTAAATACCAAATGTTTTATCAAGTAAGAATACTTTTATTTTGAACTAATGATTATACTATTGGCTTTGTATCTTAACATTAGACACATCTGCACATTGTCTTATTTGAAATGCCGAAATATGACCTGTAGCCTCAAATTCACTACACACAACTGCATTATGGCAAAGTTCAATTGTATAGAAACAAAACTTTATTCCTAATATTTAGAGTTGTATTTATACAGTGGTATAGCATTTTTTCACAAATGTAGTCTTGTTTTTCTTCAGGTTTTCAGATGCTGTATCACAAGATCCAATCTCAGAGGGTCCACTGGCAAAGAAACATGCTGGAGACAAAAAATTAATAAATAAAAAGAAAATTGATAAAAAGAAAGTATTGAAGAGATTATGATTATGATCTGATATCATCCATTTCTCATTTTACCATCCAGATAGAATGTGTGCTTTATATAAAAAAAATTATGTAAATATGAGACATTTTGAGAAAGATCAGTACTTTTGTTCAGGCTCTAGATTTATGTTAATTGTATTTGCAAAATATTTAATATATATATTTAAGAAAAACAATGTATCTAAAAGGGCTTTGACAAAACAATATTGTATTTTATGATAAATTATAAACAATTTCTTGTAAATGTATTTTACTTCTGTGATTTCAATTCAGGGATGTTCCCATAAATTTCCTAAAAGTAATAAGTTGTTTTTCTAAATTGCCACAGAATATATATAGTTTTATAGGTTGTAGAAGACCTGTTTAATTGTGCCAGTGTTCTTGAAAATATATGAATGTACATTATTTCACTGACAGGAGTGACTGATCCAGGCATCATACACTCAGGATTTCATTTCAACCATTTTATCATTTTATGTCATAATATTCCTGGTTTTTAACATTTTTAACTGTTTTAGCTCACCTGTGACAAGGTGAGCTTCTGTGATTGTAATCCGTCTGGCGTCCGTCTATAAACTTTTACTTTAAACAATATCTCCTAATAAACTACTAAGCCAATTTCATCCAAACTTCATAGGAATGTTCCTTGGGTGGTCACCTTTGAAAATTGTTCAAAGAATTACATTCTATGCAGAACTCTGGTAAAAATAAAATATTAAAAAAATTCTTCTTTTGAAAAACCCAAAAAGCTAGAGCTTAGATATTTAGCATGATACATCTTCTAGTTGGTGTCTACCAAGATTGTTCTTGGCCCTGGGGTTAAAATTGGCCCCACCACAGGGGGTCATTTATTTTCCTGACATGTATATAGTTAAAACAACAACAAAATCTTTTATTATACTATATAGGGTTTAGCTTAGATATTTGGTATGAAACATTGTCTGATGGACCTCTACAAAAATTGCAAGCAACCAGTGATTTCATAGCAGCCATTGACTTTTCATAGCAAACTGTTAATTTTCATAGCAGCCAGCAACTTCCATAGCAAACATTAACTTTCCATAGCAACAAGTGAATATACCATTGAATTTGAAGGCAGGCAACTGACTTCCAAGGAAACCAGTTATTGTGTATGGCAACCAGTGACATCTTATGGAACTGTTGTTTTCCATTAGCAAAAGCAACCAGTAATGTTTTTTTACACAAGATGATACACTATTTCAGATACAAATATAAACTTTTGTGATATCAGTTTAAAATTAAGGTTTTATGTCTGTTTTTGTTTACAATATTACTTGTTCATTGACATGGAGAGTTTTTATATTCAGGTGAGCATTATTAGGGTCATCATGGCCCTCTTGTCTCTATTTTCACTCACCAGAGCTCTTGAGATCACTCACAATCTGTCCGTTCCTGATCTTTTCCTAAACCACCAGAACCCCATAGGAATGTTTTTTGGTTGACCATTTTACAAATTTTTGTAAAGCAGAACACAAAGTGACCGTTTAACAATTATGTTGATTTGATGAAAAAAGAAAAACTGCAGTTAGAAGGGAGTAGGAAAAAAACTTTTATAATTAGTTTTAATTTGAAATAATTTAACAAGAATGATCTTTTGGTGACCATCTGCAGTTAATATAATTTTTCAAAAACCTAATTGTGTTTCCTTATACATGTATCTATAAATAGCAAACTTCTGATAAACACTGGTGAGTGATACAGGGCCTTTATAATGTGTCATGATGTTTACAGAATTCATGATTTAAGCAATCAGAATCATGTGATGGTTTGACATTATTTGAAAAACTTCTATTTTATTATTTTATGCAGCTATGAGAAAAAGATAAATATGTATGTAAATTTCTTTTAAACAAAACTGAAGCATCTAATGTATTAAGAATTATTTGTCTCTTGTCAAGTTATGGCTTGCACGTTTTGAATTATGTAAATATTGGACATAAACTTTCCCTTTCAGGTAAATTTGAATAATAGATTGTGTGCTATATAGTAATAGGTCAAGAAAATGAATTATAATTATGTCTGTTTATAGATCAGAGATGAAGAAACAATTGTTATTGCAAGTATTGCAAAATTCTTTTGTAGTTTTAACATGCTCAATATGTATAGAAGCTGTGCATGTAATTTATATATGTATATTATTTATTATTGTTTTGTTTTTCTCAATACTGGTCCAGAAAAAAAAGATAGATAAAAATGGGATTAGTTTTTTGTCTCCTCTACATAGTAGTGGCGATATAAAGGGATAACTTCTCGTCGTCTGCCTGTCCGTCACAATTACTCCTAAAAAACTGCTGGAGCAATTTCATCCAAACTTTACAGGAATGATCAGTACCAAGTCTAGTTGTTCATATCATCGGCATTTTCCGGTTCAATGATTTCTGTCGGAGTTATTTGATGTATAATGTGCGTTTGTCCGGTCTCATTCTTTGAAGGATTACATAGAGGATATTTGTTTAGTTCAGTGTAAGATCGGAATATATTTCACTGAGTGAGCACCAAAAGGTATATTTCACGAGTGGCGCAGCCACGGGTGAAATATGAACTTTTGGTGTTCACGAGGTGAAATATATTTCGATCTTACATTAAACTAAACAAATTTTCTTTCTATTATATGCAAAGAAACGTTTAAAAAGACATTTTAACCTAGTACTAAATGAAAAGGCGCCAAATAATAATACAACGTGACGTCATTTACGACGTCACATCTTTAAGTTGGTTTCCAGTACTGTGAACGCTTGTATTTTACTGAAACAACGTAACGGGCTCAAATATTTAAAACAGTGACATTATCAGTTTTTATTTCACTGATATATTTCTATAAACCACTGGAATGCATGTAATAAAAAATAATTTGTACACCATGATGGGGTGGTGTGTGACTCACAAAACCCATGTCCGCCGCCTAAAGGTCAAGTCCCCTAAGGGTGAGCATATAGTCGCCGATTTGTCCATCTGTCTTTCCGTACAAACGTAAAGATACTTAGCTAAGTTAGGTGGCTATGGGAACAATAGGGAACAATATATTTCCTTTGATGCTATTCATTCAGTAAGCTCTTATGTGGCTTCTTTTTCTCTTACATTGCTAAAAGGACAAAAGAGAGAACAAAAGAGTAGCCACTTAAATACCAAACTTTGAGTACGTCCATCCGTCTGTCCGTCCGCTATTCTTGTCCGGGACATAGCTTTGAAACAAGAGGTATCAACATTAAACTTTGTAGGTAGATAGATCTCATTGAGTAAAATTGCAGTGGAAAAGAACCATAACTCTGCCTTGCTTAATTTTGGAGTTATTGCCCTTTGTTCATTTTTACACTGAACTTTGTCTGTGACATAACTCTTGACACTACAAGAGGTATACTTTCCTGTGTCCAAAACCTATTTGGGGAGCATCGCCCGGTCCAACCAGTTCTTGTTAAAATTTGTCTGGACTACTCCTTTTATACCACTTATACATTTCAATGAAACTTTGATTGATCGGTAGCTCAAGTACAGTCGAGACTGCCTTAACGACCCCCTGATTTCATCGACTCCCTGTCTTATCCGACCTTGTTTCAGTACTCCCAACATATTTTCCTATATAAATGGTCTGAATTAAACGACTCCCTGTCATATGTGACAAGCGACCCTAATTGTCTGGTCCAAATGTATTGTTTTGTCTGATTTAAACGACTTTCACACCTTTTAATTGTCTGTTAATCAGATAAATAAACCTGTTTTAACACCCAGACAACCAAAATAATTACATCCAATTATAATCCAGTTGTCAGTACACTTCAAACAAATTATACACAGCTCTGCCTCAATTACACAGTTAACATGTATACAGGTATCAAGTGACGTAGCGTCTGTTCCCTACTGCCAAATGTGGTAAGCATGATGCAATCGATGTGTGTGTAATGTACATAATGACCTGAGTAAACTGGATTAAGACTTGTGTCAGATTATTTTTTATTTTAAATTATGGAGTGCCAACGGAAGATTTTTTTAGGCATCATTTTTTTTTTATTTACCTTTCTATGACTGCATGAATACTATGGAAAAATATTGATACCAAACCAGAAAAAGCTTTGGATATGGATATGTTTTAACTTTTTAAAGTATGATATTTATTTTAATGATTTGAATGCATCAAATTTAAGTTTATTTTATACCATAATGATTCAATTTAAATCTTAATACAAAAAATTAAAATTAAATTTTATATGATATACATGCAGAATATATTTGTTTTACAGGGATTCTTATTTTATTTACATCAAAACTTTTAAGAACACCTATGTTTATTTGCAATTGGTTAAATTTTATTCCTTCGCACAGTTATGTATGTTAAGTCAAAATGGTATATAGACAGGTAGATGGTATTTAAATTTTAATTTTCTTTGAGACTGTATTAAGAGACTCCCTGTCATATGTGACCTTTTTCTGAAGATCCCTTTGAAAGTCACATATGACAGTCTCGACTGTACTTGTGCATATTTTTGGCCAAGTTATGGCCCTTGCATAAAAGGTGGGTTTTGCCTTGTTGATGATTTTTGTTGCATGCTGCTGCACAGTAGCAGCAACATGCAATTGACTATCATGAGGCGACACATGTGATCACTGATCCCTCTTGTATTTATTATATAATATTATGTACATTTTTAGAAAATATTATTTATGTATGTTGGTGTTGTTTAAAACTGGGTTTTATGAGATGTATAAGTAACCTTTGATCTCCTATTGTATTTACGACCATCTGGTAATAAATTGATAAACCATTTTATAAAGTGTCTTTGACGTTTGGTTAACAACTTTTTGTATACAATGTTATAATGTTTAAAAAGGAAACCTTTTTTACTATTGCTTTTAACATTTTATATCATGACATTAATTTATCTATGACTTTATTAAAGGTACATGTCCATTTTTGGCTCATCTGTCACATAGTGACATGGTGAGATTTTGTGATAACAATTTGTTCGGTGTCCGACTATCTGGTATGCGTTTGTAAACTTTTACTTTAAACAACATCTCCTCATAAACCGCCAAGCCATTTCATCCAAACTTTACAGGAATGTTCCTTGGGTGGTCACCTTTAAAATTTGTTCTAAGAATTGAATTCCATGCAGAACTCTGGTTGCAATGGCAAGAAAAAAACTTTAAAAATCTTCTTTTAAAAAAGCCATACAGTTAGACCTTAGATATTTAGCATTAAACTTCTTCTAGTGGGTGTCTACCAAATGTAATCCCTGGGGTCAAAATTGGCCCCACCTAAGGAGGTAATTGATTTTCTTTATAAATATGTATATATAGTAAGAACAAAAACAAAATCGTCATCTAAAAACCCAAATAGCTGGAGCTTAGATATTTAGCATGATACAACTTCTAGTTGATGTCTACCAAGTTAATTCAAATAAAAGGCCTGGGGTCAAAATTGACAGATCCCTACTCTGACCCTTTATTTGAATAACAATAGATTTAACCACAAACATAGTAATACGTTGTGAAATTCTTAGTGTATCCACTAATCTGATAATTAGAAGGTCATGGATCTAAGCATTGACCCCGCCCCAGGGAGTCATTAATTTTCCTTATATGTATATAGTAAAACAAAAAGAAATCTTCTTCTATTATAGTATTGAGGCTTAAGCTTAGATATTTAGTGTGAAACATTGGCTGGTGGACCTGTACAGAAATTTTTCAAATTATAGCCCTCTGGTCAAATTCACCCACCCTCGGGGGTGGGGGGACATAGATTTTCCTTATACCTACATAGCAATAGCAACTAGTAAAGTTTTTACATGTGCACTATTTCAGATACAAATATGAATATCAGTTTAAGATGTAGATTTTATACCTGCTTTCGCTTATAGTTTACATTATAATACTGCACGTTTGTAATGTCACTTTTCATTGGATAATAGTGATGTTTATATAGTTAAATATACACACCTGCTGTCAATTTTCTAAGAAATCTCATTTTTTTCTCAAAAAAAGGAAGTTTGCTGTATTATATATTTGTTATAAATATTCCTGACAGGTTATATGACCATATATAAATGGTTGTTTGCAATATAACCCTCATCTAGCAGCTAGGGTTATATTTCTGAACAGCCATTTATATAGGGCTATATAACCTGTCAAAAAATCTTTAAAAACTATGATATACATATTCCTTGTCATGGAGAATATTTATATTTGGGTGAGCGATATTAGAGCCATCATGGCTCTTCTTGTTTTGATTTATTGAGTAGAACTAATTTCTTTTTAATTGACTGAAAGCACATGGCATAATGAAATTATAGAACAGCATTAATTACAGTCAATACAATGTATATGAAATTCAGGCATCACGTTTCTGTTATATAGCAATTTACTCCAGCTCTTTATATTGATTTGCACTTGGTAAACTAGTATTTTTCCTTCCCTTTTGAAAAAACAACACCTCATTTACCTTACAACTATTTCTCTATGTTTTCATTGTATATGTTATTCTGACATATGATGGTATATATGTGTAATCATAAACATTCTCATCCTAGCCATTTTATCATGTCGGTCAACTTATCATGAATAATTAATAAAAGGTAATATAATATTACATTGTCTTGTTTTTGCATCATTTTTGCCTGTCTTAGTAGAGATCATTTAACAGTCATGTTGGTGTTGCCGTCCGCAAACTTTAACCTTGATCATAACTTTTTAAGTTCTTGATGTATTGTCTTCATACTTGGCCACAACAACCCTTGGGAGCTTTTCGAAAACCTAGCTAAACACCGTTTTCCGGTACGTTACGGATTTTGCTCTAGGGAATTACACCAAATGAAGTACATAACACAGTTACATGATATTTCTATTTTTATGCCCCCGCCATATAATGGCAGGGGCATATAGTGTTACCCTGTTCCGTCATTCCGTCATCATCAGTTTCCGTTCATTATCTTAATAACCCTTGCACATATTGAACTCAAATTTGACATATGGATATGTCATGAGAAAATACAGGTCAAGTTCGAAATTGGTCATGGTTCGATGATTTTTGGCAGAGTTATGCCCCTTTTATATTGAAAATGATATGAAATTTTCAGTTTCCGTTCATTATCTCCCAAACGGTTCAAAACATTCAATTCAAAATTGACATATGGATATGTCATGAGAAAATACAGGTCAAGTTCAAATTTGGTCATGGTTCAATGATTTTTGGCAGAGTTATGCCCCTTTTACTTTGAAAATAATATGAAATTTTCAGTTTCCATTCATTAACTCCCCAATGGTACAACACATTCAACTCAAACTTGACATATGGATACGTCAAAGGAATGCGCAGGTCAAGTTCAAAATTGGTCATGGTTCAATGATTTTTTGCAGAGTTATGCCCCTTTTACTTTGAAAATAATATGAAATTTTCAGTTTCTGTTTATTATCTCCCCAACAGTATTAAACATTCAACTCAAATTTGACATATTGATACGCCAAAGGAATGCGCGTGTCAATTTCAAATTTGGTCATGGTTCGATGATTTTTGGCAGAGTAATGCCCCTTTCACTTTGAAAATGATATGAAATTTTCAGTTTCCGTTCATTATCTCCCCAATCGTACAACACATTTAGCTCAAACTTGACATATCGATACGTCAAAGGAATGCGCAGGTCAAGTTCAAATTTGGTCATGGTTCAATGATTTTTAGCAGAGTTATGCCCCTTTTACTTTGAAAATAATATGAAATTTTCAGTTTCTGTTTATTATCTCCCCAACAGTATTAAACATTCAACTCAAAATTGACATATGGATATGTCAAAGGAATGCGCAGGTCAAGTTGGAATTTGGTCATGGTTCGATGATTTTTTGGCAGAGTTATGTCCCTTTCACTTTGAAAATAATATAGATACATCTTAGGAATGAGCAGTTTAAGTTTGAATTTGGTCGTGGTTCAATGATTTTAGACAAACTTATCTTTCCTGAATGTTGGAAAAATTTTGAACTTTCAGTTTCAGCACTCATACTTTTGTGGAAATGTATATAGCCATTATGTTGGCTACAAATATGCAATATGCTATTTTTAAAAGGTTAAGACTGAATAATTTCAGTGCCTTGAACATTGTATAAAAATGGTTAAGACTGAATAATTTCAGTGCCTTGAACATTGTATAAAAATGGTTTGTGTTAACATTGAAAAGTTTAAAGGGCTTTGAACTTAGAATGAAAAAAATAATTTGTGCAAACAAATTTGGAACTAAATATTATAACATTTGAAATTTTGGCTGCATGCGGGGGCATCCGTGGCATGATGACACATTTCTAGTTCTATCATTATTTTACCGTTTAAGGTGACAAAAATTGATGTATTTGAAAATTATCAATATTCCTTTAATATCTTTTGCAAATTTTTCAAAAAAATTCTTTACAATGAAAATCAATAAAATTAAAACAGACGTAGTTGAATCTTCCATAATAAGGTTTTTTATTCTGTGTAAACTTGTGTATTTACTTTATTTTTTGTATGGAATTATTCATACAATGATATTTAATTTTTTTCTTATAAAGAAATAACTTTTTTTTTCCAATTTAATTTTAAAAAAGGCCGAAAACATCGAGTTCGCTATCACACTCCAGGGAAGGGCCCACGATAATGTTGTTAGAACTTTTGGCCCAACCCTTTTGTATGTACACTTGATTATGTCTGTAAAATTATGAAATTGTATATTGTGTGTATATTTATACAATAAAATATTATTAAACTAAACACTCCATTAGGTGAATTCCCCAGCGCTATGTACAGAAAGTACCGGAAAACGGCGTTTAGCTAGGTTTTCGAATTCGTGAAGTCTTTCATAACTGACATTCTGTCATAGATGTCCTTGACCTTCAATGTAAAATGTCGTTTTTGCTGATTTTTGCTATATATGGCTTTATCATATAAACCACGGCACAGGAATGTAATAAAGCCATTTAATAAAACGATATTACACTATAGTCTGTCCCATTAAAAATGGAAATGAACTTTTGCCTCGTGTGAATTAACAAAACGAGGTTGAATAAAAATTAAAATATTTTTGTAAACTAAAAAAAAGTCACCCTCGAGATTTTTCAGGATTTTTCTCTAAAGTGTCTAATTTTCTTGTGAAAGCAAATTTTGATTTCTCTATGGTAAATCTCTGTTGTTTATTTTCCGTAGCCATTGCCGAAGTACTCTTCATTTGAAGATAAACGGGAGAAAGCACGTGTTATGTTTCTAAAATATACATGAGGTTCTCGGGGTCGTTTCATGATTATTTTACAAAGCTGGATCTACAAGATTAACAGTTTAGTTGCAATGCATGATGGAAAACTTTAAAAAATGAAAAATAAGCAACAAGAACACCGAGTCACACGGAGTAGGAAAAGAAATTGCACTTACTTTTAAGCTGAATAGAATCCCTATGAATTTCGAAATAGATCTTTATATGCACGTCACCACAAATTCGCATTCTGAAGATTCCTTCATTGCAAGTTTCTATCCAGTTCCGTAGCTTCAAAACTCCTGCATGACATGACTCCTACACTTATGATGATCCAGATTTTTTTAACTGTTAATCCGTCTCTTTATCAAAACATTGTTAATTTTGTGGAGTTATCTGGGTTAGCAAATGAAATATGTAAATGAAACATATCATAATTCAGCATGTTCCAAATCCATAATTCAAGAACGGCCCATCAATTTTAGTTGTTAACATCACAATGTTTATAACTCTTGAAAATGGATTCCTGACGAAAAACATTATTACGTCAACAACAATTTACGAAATATATGACGTAACAAAAATGCCTCGCGCTTCCAGTTGCGGCATTGACAGAGGGCGGTTAGGCCAATGTAACCTCAAACAAATAATTTCAAGCGTTGAGATAAATATGCCTTGATTGCATTTCAAATAATTTTTGTAGACCCAAATGTTGCAACTTAACTATAAAAATGACACCTTCAATTCATATATTAATAATAAAATTTCGATAACATTTAAATACTTTAAACTCACTTAATGACATGAATCTTTAATTACATATAACATTCGTTTTCATTTTATGTTTTTAAACTATTTTATATATTTCTCAGAAATGATTTTCCTTATTATTAAAGACTTCTGTAAATCCTACTCTTTAATTTACAAAATATACAATACGCGTTTTTTTTTTCTGCCGCGAAAAATATGCTAGATCTATTGTTTTTCACTGAATCTTTTCAAAATTTAGGAAGGCTAAAATTATTGAGGTTCTCTTTGACTCGACCTTCCCTTCATATTAACATAATAATTATATGTAACACTTTGAGTCTGCAATAAAAACCGCACTTATTGTCGCTTATTGAACGCTCCAATTCAAACTTATTCTTAATAATGTCAAATCACTGCCGGTATTTCTGGACATTTTGTTGAATTGTGAGACGGCAAGTTAAATCTGAATTTACGAGCTTAAAGTGTATAGGCCCACGTTTGATTGCTCAAACTAGAAAGCATGATATCATATTCTTATAATTTACATTTTCCTCGGACGCGAATCTGTGTTCTCTCGTTAGCGAGGGGGTATGTTAAAGTAGACACTGTGGTAACAAGCAAACCAATGCTGAACGTAAAGTGAATCAGTTCTCTTTTCTATATATTTCTTGTCAGATTTGCATGATAATGCAGTATTTGTTGGCGATTTCTTGTGAAGGAAAGGTTTAGCACACGAACATCGCACCCGAAATAAGAAGGGTAACATATTTTTGTATCTCATCGAACCTGGTCAATTTTAATTATTTTTGAATAGACGTGACTCATACTAATGGACAGAATTCAGACAACTACAGAATTATGTAAATTAAACATTACTTAGCGAATAACCATTTTATAGTCTTCTTGCTAGTGTTCCCGCTCCCATTCGACGCGTCGCGGTATTCAAGATACGCGCTTGATTGAAAAGCTATCTAATCAAATCACTTCATTGTTCTTTTTCTCTTAAAAATAATATAAAAATACGACAGTATAAAATACGACAGTATATCATGGTAATTATAGAAATATTTGTGTGTTAGAATTAATAAAGCGGTAACTGATATTTTCACTTCAAATGATTTTGATTATTTTAAATAATGGTTTGCTAGTAAAATTGTCTATTTGACACCAACTTTGTTTTCATTTTAATGAGAACATTTAGCTATTGATCAGTAAGTAAATAAGAATAATCATTTTTTTATAATTACCGAGTACATTTCACGCTAATTGTGAGACGAACCCTAAATGACGTCTATATGGGCGCCGCCATTTTGAAATGGACGTCACGTCAGATTACAACGTAAGTCAACGGGGAAAAATATAATTTTAACATTTCGACCATAATAATAACTTTATGAAAAAAATGAAAAACATGCCTAGAGATATTGACATCAGGGTTAACATGACATTAATTTAAATGATTTTACTATTATATTAAACAAAAAATGGAGTATTCAAATTTGATGGGACAGACTATAGTGTAATAACAGTTTGACGTGACGTCATTTGCTTATATATAAACAGCGTTAAAACGTGCTAATGTTTGCGTTACACTATAGGCGCATCAACGAAAGATGAATCTTTTTAATTGTTGTAAGCTATTCTTATTTTGAATATGTGATAGATAGAATATTATATTTGTGTAGATTCAATACTTAATTTATTGAACTCGTTGAATTAAACAATTAACAAGAGGCTTGCACAATATAATTTTATTCAGCTCGTTAAATAGATTCAATATTAAGCCTACACTCCTTCAGTATCCTCTATTCTAACACGACCCGCATTTTTGTATTGAACATAGATACTCGGCCGAAGTAAAACTGGTTAACTTGCATATGTTAGTTTTTAGTTTTCCATGTAAAGAAATGTTAGCATAGCTTGCATAAGAAAGACATAATAATTTCTTGTCGGGTTCTTGAAAAATTGAAAAATGGAACACTTTAAGATGTGTGTCTAAATGAAACTGTTGTGGTTCGGTAAGTGAACTCAGTTTCTTACACCAACATCTAAGCAGTCGAGGTAGGCAATTATTTTTATTTATAATACTTGATTAATATGCAAAAATATATGAACATTATAAACATTATATCAGTTGACATATATAATATACTAGACACTCACTGAACATCATACACTTAGGGTACCTTATAATTTCTGCTTTTATTCTCCTTATTTTGGACAAAATTTATAACTCTTGTTAGTAATTTCTTACGTACAATAAACTGTTCACTCTAAATGTATTGAGATTGACTGTAAAATGTTTTGTGGGAGGAAGTATTTAACTAGAAAGTTAAAGGCCCATTGTGCCTCCGTTTTTTTACTCAAAATCCTTGTATTTCTAGTGCCCTGTTATGGTTCCCAAAAAGTTAAAAATTAGCCAATTACTTCAACCATATTTTGCTTCTATTGCTTTTCTAGCATTAATAAAGTTATATTGTTTTATTTTGTATGGAAGTCAAAATACTACTTTGTTTACAATTTGTTACTTTTATGACAAATAATTTTATATTCAGCACTACATTCTGCAGGTGATAAGCATGTATCATGCTCTTAAACCATTACTAGTATTTAAACATTATAAAACTCATTCCTGCCTTTTCTAAAGATAGAAAACCATATTTGTTTCTGAGAAATAATGTGACTTTAAAGAACCACTAGTATCCTGTACATTTTAGCAGACTTTATTTATCAGAGGGGTAGAATTGTTTAAAAAAATACACAAATAACGAGTTATTGGAAAGGTCATCAGATGAGAATGTTTGCTGGCGGCATCCATCCGTATCGAATTGCTACTTCTGGTATGACTAAATTACGCAACGGAGATCTTTTGGCGCAAACTTTTCTCAAGTTTAATTTTCTTGAAATATTGTGGTTGGAGGCATGCAGCTGAATATACAGTTTATTCCTTATACAATTATATTGTAAATCTGGGACTTAAAATTGTTTGATTAACATAATTTATGCCCGTTTTGGCAAATCTCTGGTTCCTTTTATGAAAAAAAATCTCCAAATATTTTCGAAATAAACCAATCGTCAACTGCTGCAAAAATACCTATCGCATGCTTCTTTTTAAAGAAGCAAATATGTCCATAAAACAGTGTGAAGATTTCCGTATTGACTGATATCCACCTGTGGCGTGGATTTCTTTAGAGGGAGTTCGTTGGTTCTGTTCAGGCACCCACTGATTTGATATAATGAGTATCACAAAGAGTCTTTCTTCACTATTAAAGCTGCCGGAAATTCTCCACTTGCCTTTATCAGCCTGATCAGTAACGTCTTTTTAACTTGTTATTGATAATTCAAACGTTTTGAAAAGCAATGGATTCCTTTTATTTGAAATATTTTTTTTATTACTCTCATTCATCCATCATGATCTCGAAGAAATTATAACATGTAACATATACTTTCAAAGGTTAAAAAATAACAGTTGTGCATGTTTCAATAAAAGATAAAGATTCATTGTCTCGTTATAACCAGGCGATAATCTACGACTCTGCATATCTTTCCTGTTATATTTAGTGTCATTTTCATTTTAATGATCAACTACTGTTGTTGTTGTTGTTTTTGTACTTAAAAATTCCGATATTTTGCATATTTACTGATTACCAACTAGATTACATTATAGCGAAACAATCTCTAACATAAATCATGTTGATGTAACAAAAGGTATTCTTTTGAAAGTGTTTTTGTTGACACTGTCATCATGTATCACCAGTCCGCATCTTGCGAGTTTACCTTAAAAACAAAGCAAATATCTCAATTAAAATGTGTCATATGAGTCTAATGTTGACTATAGTAAAACAATAAATAATAATTTAAGAAATAATATACCACAAACTGTGATTTTATCGCTCAATAAAATCACAGTTTGGAGTTCGGATGCGAAGAATTATATCAAGAGGGCGTAGTTTAAATTTACCGTTTGGCGGGAGGATCTGCAGACAACCGGAAACGAAAAAGATTTACTCGATTAATTTTTTTTGGATCACTGTAGACTTAAATTAGGTTATGCAGTTAGAAAAAACAAATAGTCGACGGTTCACAAATACCCGAAACCCGCTCTAGTTGGACTATATATTTGGTAGTTAAATTTGTTTTCGCCTCAGAGTTTCCAATAAAGGCTGTTCCAGGCAGTTGAAAAAGACTGTTGGTAAGTCTACTGTTCGAAGACACAGTTTGAGAATTATGAATTTTGAAAACGTTGTTAAAATTTGTGCGTGTTTATTTTATTTCATTCCATATTTTTCAAGCGAAATACAGAGTATCTATAGTGAAATAAATGTGAAATTTAACTGGTTGCGACATTGAAGTAGCGTTCTTGTTTTGACTGTTTTTGCTCGCGCTGTTTGACGCTACATTGTGACGTCACTGTATTGTACAGCTTACGGGACGTATTATGGGAACGCCCCTGGCGGGCGGGCGGGCGGCGTCCAATTTTGTCCGGAGCATATCTCCTACATGTATGGAGGGATTTTAATGAAACTTCATAGAAATGTTCACCGCTATGAGGAGCAGTGTCGCACCAGGTCTCTAGGTCAAAGGTCAAGATCACACTTAGAGCTCATTGAAAAATGCTTGTCCGGAGCAAAACTTCCACATGTATAGAGGGATTTCAATATTACTTGGCACAAATGTTCACCATTGTGAGGCAAAGTGTCGCGTGCAAGATTCAGGTCCTTGCGGCCAAGGTCAAGGTCACACATAGAGGTCAAAGTTCAGATAAAAATATGAAGATGTGTATATGGACCATTTAGTCATCATTTATTGAGGGATTGTAACACAAATGGTCATTATCAAGACTATGGCAATGTCTGAAGCATATGAAAGCATTATTATTCTATTGTAAGGCACTGGAAACTTCATGACTGATTTCTAATATAAGACAATTTATGAAACCTCGTGAAAACTTTATTATGGCTACTTTCCATTTAATTGTATGTTCTGTAGTGATTGATAAAACTTTGCATTACCTGTACAACAAACCCTTTTGGTGACCCAATTTTCTCCGGGACCTGTGGCAGCTCATTGCGTCTTTCCGATCTTACACCAACAGGTGTCGGTTCCGGTTTTAGATTGTAGTTTGGTGGCGGAAGCTTCTTTGTTTCTGGGATGTGCTTCGGGTTTCCAATGTATTTACTCAGTTGCAAAACCAAATATTGTTTGTCTTTTTCATCCTTTGAAATGATATCTTACATGAGAATTCACATATTACAGATTCAAAAGGATTTAAGATATAACGGGCTATTGTGACTGCAACCCAGAGTTTATTCAAATGAAATCATCCGGTCTGTGCTCTAGTTTACTGAGTGATAGGTTGAAAATAGGTAAATCAAGACATCATATATGATCTTATTATTCCAAGGTGTTGTTGGTGCAACATGTTTTCATCAAACTTATTGATTAAGACTTACCACGTTTCCCCAATGCATTTAATTATAAAATGATTAACTTGCACACCTTTGATTGAATATAGGATGTCCCCTAACTTATCTAATTTATAATTTGTTTTTCTGTCTAAGACAGCTGTAAGAAGTTGATTCTTGTTCAGTAAGGCTGTTTAAATTTGATATACATAATATTAATAGTACGTACCTGCAGGAGTTGAGCCTTCATTCTTTTTATAAGCTTCCAGTTAGATGTACGCTGTGCAGAACAATATGACAACGCCAGACTGGAGTTTAAAGTTAAATTACGTGATAAATAACGTAAAAATAGTTACCTATTCAAAAACAAAATTTCATTTTATGCTTACTAATGAATTATAGAAGTTTATCAGTGAATTTAAATTCAATATTTCATTGTCTCAAAACTACCACCTTGTTATGTTTTACTGTTTGACGGAACAACGTTTTCAATTAAAATTCCCCGTTACTTTATTTCATTTATTACTTCTCTTTGATATTCATATGAAATGGATTTTAAACTTAATCTAATCATATTCTGTGATAAGATTCATAAGAGCAGCTGTTTTACAATGTTTCATAATAGACATATAATCAAGTAATTTCAAAAATAAACAATATCAATATTAAATATAACAAGACCAAATTTATACATTGATTTACAGAGCATTTAATAATTCATTTCATTTCTTTGTAGCATAATTTAAATATTTACCTAAACCTATTATTTCAGACTTGTTTTCAGTACTTAATAATTCAATCAGTTTGAACATACTTGATCTTCTGTCATAGTATGGTTAAGTATAAAGAGAACGTACTCGTACTCGTATATTAGAGTAACTATTCTACCTGTTTCAATCCGAAATTTATCTGGCGATAATCTTAATCTTGCTAAGCCATTTTTATAAGTTTTGCTATGAAGAATTTTCAGGTAGTTTTCCATTACAAATTAGTAATACAAATGCACATATATAAGATTTTATGCTCACATAAAATTTTATGTCATTGGCCGCTGTTCTACTTACTGCACAGAATTTTACCCTTTACGTGTCTGGTTTTAGCTTAAGTACATGGATAAAGTCTAAGCCAATCAATGTCCAGACTTAAATCACGTGATCTCAATTAACCAATCATTACATTAGATCCATCTCAAAGAAACAATTTTACAATATTTGCAATAATGTTTGGCAGAATGTTGAACGGAAATGAAAATGAGTTTTCGGAGTTAATTATATAAAGAAGAACCTCTTATGCCAGTGGTGATAAGAGATGCAGCGGTTGTTATACTCGTTATAACCGTTAATAAAAAATAAATCAATGAATAAATAAGTGAATGTGAAAATAATTTTAAAAATTAATTAATTAATTAATTAATTAATCAATCAATCAATTAAGAAAGAAAGAAAGAATAGATAGATGAGAATGAAAGTATGAATAAGTTTATATAAGTCAATAATTTAATAAATATAACTTAATTTGTAAAATTTAATAAATAATCAGGAAGTATATACAATTTCATTTGTTTTCATCATTATGTTCATTCTTGTTTTGAGTGGAATGGAAAATGTGAACCATAGAAACATGTACCGCTAAACAGTCTGTAACTGTAATAGAAGCTAATCCGGGAAATAATTAATTTATTGAAGTAAAAAATGTGATAGGAATTCTTCACATATACATGTATATACGCCTTTCCCATTATATAATTGCGATGCAGATGTTGGAAACGTTTCTAATAAGACAAGTCATATCTGATTTTCTGGTATTCTATCCTTATTTGTGATGGACCTCTTTCTTTTAAAGGAACATATTAAGCCTAAGAAATAAATAAAATTTCCTTTCTTTAGAATGGACAAATATGCATTTTATAGCGAGCTCGAAGAGCAGGTCCGAAAGCCTGCTCGCAAAGCGAGCTTTACGGTATTGCGAGTACCTGCTTAGTGATGGTTTTGAAAACTTTCGTCCGAAGTACTGAATTGACAAATCGCAACTTTTCGAATTTAAAAATAATGATAAAAACTGAGGAATTCTGACTGAAAACGGATGTGTAGACTGGTCACCCGCGCACTTCTATGGGAACCATAATTGGACAGGGAACCAGAATAAACGGAAGCAGTGTATAAAATACCGAATGACAATTTTAAAATGGAAAATGTAAAATAAAAATGAACGATTATTTTATACTATTTCACGGTAAAAGTAAACCGAGCTCGCTTTGAGGCTTTGCCTTTTTCATATTACTGTTTTTATAATGTGTAAGTATGTTTCCATCTAAACCAACCTTTCAGAGCTCAGCCATAAAGCATTCCTGTACACAGAATCAAAGGTCTTCTTTATGTATATAAAAGCGCAATAAAGGCGTAAATTCTGTGATGAAAGATTATTTAAAACGAAAATCGCGTCAACTATACTAGCACCGTGACAAAAACCGAACTGAGCATCTGACGACACGTTAAAAGGACTATATACAGTAGATATTAGTGTCGTAAATGTAAAAAAAATAACAAAAAATTTGCCCAATCTCTAAATATTGTCTTACAATATCGACCTGGCACTTCATTAACTTTCGAAAGAGCATACCATGCAGTATCTATCGAATATAAAGAGGGTATTGAATGAGTGTAAGTTCAATACTAAATGTATTGAACGAGTTGAATAAAATCATATTATGCGAGCCTCTGGCGAGCATAAAATTGTTTTATTTAACGAGTTCTTGAATCTACACGAATATAATATTCTATTTATCACATACATGTATATAAAATAAGAACGGTAAACTGTTATAAAGAGTCTACGAAGACAAGGAAATGTATACTTTGTTTGATATATACGAAGATGTGCTGAATTAAAACAAAATTATAAGGTAGGATGTAGGGTGGCTTTACTTCATTTTTATCAGTGTGTATATTAATAGCATTTATTTTATTTACGATATACATGTGTTTTCATTCAATCAAAGCTGGTATTAGGTATTTTTCAGTTCGTATTGTGAATGTGTTAGTTAAAGGGTATACACTTTATATTATAATGTATAAATACCCTAAGTCTCGTATAAGATAAATGGAAATGTAAATTTTTTATGTTTTATTTATGTTATAAAAGTGGTGTTGTAGATTGATGAGACTATGATAAACTATACAGTATAGATGTACTACACGTACAATTTTTCATGTACTTACCCGAGGATAAGAATAATCACTGTTATGAAGGCAGAGGAAGTTATGATGACCCACGTGGTCCTAAACCAGTCTGACGACAGGTCTATCTGGATGTCAACAATTTCAGTCGGTTTTGAGTATATCCGAAAAGGTCCACATATTGGCGACGGCCGCAATCTAAAATGACATTTCGCATTATAATGTGATGCACTTGAATTTCAGTATCTCATTTTATTATGCTGTCTGACAAACGTTATAACCATGTTATTTTACTTTGCTGTCTGACTAACGTTATAACCATGTTATTTTACTATGCAGTTTGGCTAACGTTATAGCCATGTTACTTTACTATACTGTCTGGCTAACGTTATAACCATGTTATTTTACTATGCAGTCTGGCTAACGTTATAACCATGTTACTTTACTATGCTGTCTGACTAACGTTATAACCATGTTATTTTACTATATTAAACCTCATTTGCATACGCCCTTCTATATTTAATATGACGTCATCCGGTCCATAAACCGCATACAGACCGGGGGCGGTCCATAATTCTTATATGGACCGGATGACGTCATATTAAATATAGAAGGGCGCATGCAAATGAGGTATAATATTTTATTTTGTTGTTAAATGAGTCTTTTTACTTAATTTATTGTTTTGTTTCAAATAAATTTATTACATGTTGATCAAAAGTCATGATTTGTCTTTAAATTGATTATAAATTTTATTTATACAAGTTTGAGAAAATCTGAAAGTTCGGGAGTTTTTTTTTGCCTGTTTAATTTGATTAACAAAAATTGAATAACAAAAGAAGAACATGATTTGTTTTTTGCTGTATCGCTTGAAAATAATAATAAAAAATTCGACTAGTGTTTGAGATATTTCACACACTGAACAAATAACTTATTATTTGAAAGCAAATTATAGTAAAAATGACAGCAACAAAAGGGATGAAAGAATTTAGATTCGGTATAATATAACAAATAAAACATAGCCTTTCGGGCAAAATGCAAGTTTACGGACTGGTTGGTCAGACCTCGGAAGGTACTAGTATATGACCCTCAGCTGCGCTTCGGGCCATATACCTTCCTCAGTCTGACCAACCAGTCCGTAATCTTGCATATTGCCCACAAGGTCATGTTTTATTTTTTAAATGCTGTCTGGCTAACGTTATAACCATGTTATTTTACTATGCTGTCTGGCTAACGTTATAACCATGTTATTTTACTATGCTGTCTGACTAACGTTATAACCATGTTATTTTACTTTGCTGTCTGACTAACGTTATAACCATGTTATTTTACTATGCTGTCTGACTAACGTTATAACCATATTACTTTACTATGCTGTCTGACTAACGTTATAACCATGTTACTTTATTATGCTGTCTGGCTAACGTTATAACCATGTTATAATACTATGCTGTCTGGCTAACGTTATAACCATGTTATTTTACTTTGCTGTCTGACTAACGTTATAACCATGTTATTTTACTATGCTGTCTGACTAACGTTATAACCATGTTATTTTACTATGCTGTCTGGCTAACGTTATAACCATGTTACTTTACTATGCTGTCTGACTAACGTTATAACCATGTTATTTTTTACTATGCTGTCTGGCTAACGTTATAACCATGTTATTTTACTATGCTGTCTGGCTAACGTTATAACCATGTTATTTACTATGCTGTCTGACTAACGTTATAACCATGTTATTTTACTATGCTGTCTGGCTAACGTTATAACCATGTTATTTACTATGCTGTCTGGCTAACGTTATAACCATGTTATTTTACTATGCTGTCTGGCTAACGTTATAACCATGTTATTTTACTATGCTGTCTGGCTAGCAATGTTATTTTACTATCCTGTCTGACTATCGTTATAACCATGTTATTTACTATGCTGTCTGACTAACGTTATAACCATGTTATTTTACTATGCTGTCTGGCTAACGTTATAGCCATGTTATTTACTAAGCTGTCTGACTAACGTTATAACCATGTTATGCTGTCTGACTAACGTTATAACCATGTTATTTACTATGCTGTCTGACTAACGTTATAACCATGTTATTTTACTATGCTGTCTGACTAACGTTATAACCATGTTATAATACTATGCTGTCTGGCTAACGTTATAACCATGTTATTTTACTATGCTGTCTGACTAACGTTATAACCATGTTATTTTACTATGCTGTCTGACTAACGTTATAACCATGTTATTTTACTATGCTGTCTGACTAACGTTATAACCATGTTATTTTACTATGCTGTCTGACTAACGTTATAACCATGTTATTTTACTATGCTGTCTGGCTAACGTTATAACATACTATGCTGTCTGGCTAACGTTATAACCATGTTATTTTACTATGCTGTCTGGCTAACGTTATAACCATGTTATTTTACTATGCTGTCTGGCTAACGTTATAACCATGTTATTTTACTATGCTGTCTGACTAACGTTATAACCATGTTATTTTACTATGCTGTCTGACTAACGTTATAACCATGTTATTTACTATGCTGTCTGACTAACGTTATAACCATGTTATTTTACTTTGCTGTCTGACTAACGTTATAACCATGTTATTTTACTGTGCTGTCTGGCTAACGTTATAACCATGTTATTTTACTATGCTGTCTGACTAACGTTATAACCATGTTATTTTACTATGCTGTCTGGCTAACGTTATAACCATGTTATTTTACTATGCTGTCTGGCTAACGTTATAACCATGTTATTTTACTATGCTGTCTGGCTAACGTTATAACCATGTTATTTTACTATGCTGTCTGGCTAACGTTATAACCATGTTATTTTACTATGCTGTCTGGCTAACGTTATAACCATGTTATTTTACTATGCTGTCTGGCTAACGTTATAACCATGTTATTTTACTATGCTGTCTGACTAACGTTATAACCATGTTATTTTACTTTGCTGTCTGACTAACGTTAAAACCATGTTATTTTACTATGCTGTCTGACTAACGTTATAAACCATATTACTTTACTATGCTGTCTGACTAACGTTATAACCATGTTACTTTATTATGCTGTCTGGCTAACGTTATAACCATGTTATAATACTATGCTGTCTGGCTAACGATATAACCATGTTATTTTACTTTGCTGTCTGACTAACGTTATAACCATGTTATTTTACTATGCTGTCTGACTAACGTTATAACCATGTTATTTTACTATGCTGTCTGGCTAACGTTATAACCATGTTACTTTACTATGCTGTCTGACTAACGTTATAACCATGTTATTTTTTACTATGCTGTCTGGCTAACGTTATAACCATGTTATTTTACTTTGCTGTCTGACTAACGTTAAAACCATGTTATTTTACTATGCTGTCTGACTAACGTTATAACCATATTACTTTACTATGCTGTCTGCCTAACGTTATAACCATGTTACTTTATTATGCTGTCTGGCTAACGTTATAACCATGTTATAATACTATGCTGTCTGGCTAACGTTATAACCATGTTATTTTACTTTGCTGTCTGACTAACGTTATAACCATGTTATTTTACTATGCTGTCTGACTAACGTTATAACCATGTTATTTTACTATGCTGTCTGGCTAACGTTATAACCATGTTACTTTTACTATGCAGTCTGACTAACGTTATAACCATATTACTTTACTATGCTGTCTGGCTAACGTTATAACCATGTTATTTACTATGCTGTCTGACTAACGTTATAACCATGTTATTTTACTATGCTGTCTGGCTAACGTTATAACCATGTTATTTACTATGCTGTCTGGCTAACGTTATAACCATGTTATTTTACTATGCTGTCTGGCTAACGTTATAACCATGTTATTTTACTATGCTGTCTGGCTAGCAATGTTATTTTACTATCCTGTCTGACTAACGTTATAACCATGTTATTTACTATGCTGTCTGACTAACGTTATAACCATGTTATTTTACTATGCTGTCTGGCTAACGTTATAGCCATGTTATTTACTAAGCTGTCTGACTAACGTTATAACCATGTTATGCTGTCTGACTAACGTTATAACCATGTTATTTACTATGCTGTCTGACTAACGTTATAACCATGTTATTTTACTATGCTGTCTGACTATCGTTATAACCATGTTATAATACTATGCTGTCTGGCTAACGTTATAACCATGTTATTTTACTATGCTGTCTGACTAACGTTATAACCATGTTATTTTACTATGCTGTCTGACTAACGTTATAACCATGTTATTTACTATGCTGTCTGACTAACGTTATAACCATGTTATTTACTATGCTGTCTGACTAACGTTATAACCATGTTATTTTACTATGCTGTCTGACTAACGTTATAACCATGTTATTTTACTATGCTGTCTGACTAACTTTATAACCATGTTATTTTACTATGCTGTCTGGCTAACGTTATAACATACTATGCTGTCTGGCTAACGTTATAACCATGTTTTTTACTATGCTGTCTGGCTAACCTTATAACCATGTTATTTTACTATGCTGTCTGGCTAACGTTATAACCATGTTATTTTACTATGCTGTCTGACTAACGTTATAACCATGTTATTTTACTATGCTGTCTGACTAACGTTATAACCATGTTATTTACTATGCTGTCTGACTAACGTTATAACCATGTTATTTTACTTTGCTGTCTGACTAACGTTATAACCATGTTATTTTACTGTGCTGTCTGGCTAACGTTATAACCATGTTATTTACTATGCTGTCTGGCTAACGTTATAACCATGTTATTTTACTATGCTGTCTGGCTAACGTTATAACCATGTTATTTTACTATGCTGTCTGGCTAACGTTATAACCATGTTATTTTACTATGCTGTCTGGCTAACGTTATAACCATGTTATTTTACTATGCTGTCTGGCTAACGTTATAACCATGTTATTTTACTATGCTGTCTGGTTTACGTTATAACCATGTTATTTTACTATGCTGTCTGGCTAACGTTATAACCATGTTATTTTACTATGCTGTCTGACTATGTTATAACCATGTTATTTACTATGCTGTCTGACTAACGTTATAACCATGTTATTTTACTATGCTGTCTGACTAACGTTATAACCATGTTATTTTACTATGCTGTCTGACTAACGTTATAACCATGTTATTTTACTATGCTGTCTGGCTAGCAATGTTATTTTACTATGTTGTCTGGCTTACGTTTTATAGCCATGTTATTTTCAAATATGTAATTTCTAAAATTTCTTATATGCTTTAAAATATTTTTCAAAAAACAAATAACAACACTAAACAATGCACTTACTGAACAAGAACATATCCCATCGGTATTGCGACGAGAAAGAACGTGATAAGAAGTACAATCATGAAGAATGCGTTTGATCTTGCCGCCTGATACGGTTTCTGTGGAGGCACCGTGTTGTACAAGGCCGACAACTATAATTATCAATATCAGAATACTTATTTTCATTTAACTCTAACAATATCCGTTTTGTTGTAAAGTTTATTCAGACAATTTACTAGGCACAACCAGTGTCTTTCGAATAGATTTTTTTTAAAAACCCCTAGTGATAAACACAGCTTTTTTTCAGACATTTTTACTATTAAATAAAATTTTTAACGATGTTTTTAAAATACGGGTTAGCTTTTATAAAAAGGGTTTCAAAAATACTTTTTTTTGTATCATCTGAAAATATAATAAGCAGAAAATTTTTTAAAAAATATTGTACTTAAAATGCAAAAATTTTTATTCTACAGGGCGAGTTTTAGGTTTTAAAAAAACCTATCCAATCCCTTTTTAAACCAAACTAAAACCTTAACTTTTTTGAAAAATTTTGGGACGCTTTAAGGAAATGGGAACACATTCGCTTCGGGTTGACAGAATTTAGTTTTTTTAAATGGTTGACTACATAATTAGATAAGATATAGGAAATGTATTCCTTAAAGTACACTCAAAACTGCAAAACTGGAACTCTTGGACGGTAGTTGTAAGTGCAGACTACTGGTCATGCCCCCTAGCACCGGCTTAAGCAGTAGTCAATTTTATAAATATGAAATGATGAAAATATGGAAAGGGAAGCATATATATCTTATTTTATTTAAACTTGCCATTTTCAGGTAAAACAGGATGATGAGGCGGATCACAGTCAATGCTGGAAGAAGAGGGACAAAAAAGAACCCAAGCCTGAAAGAAGAAAAAGTTTATAAGCATTTTTCAGGCAATGTGTTAAGAATTGAGACATAATCACAAAATCTGGAAATATTGTAGCTTGTGAAAATTGTTCATAACAATCTTCTTGTGTTTCTTCTGTTATATACTCAAATATAGCACGCGACATTTACTTGTCTGATATTACACGATTTACTTGCTATAAAACTATCAAGTTGCCATTAACGTGTAGGCGCATATAATTATTTTGTAAATGAGAAAAGAAATGACGGGGAAAATTTTTTGTTACAAATTAGTTATTTACACTACAGACTTGTCGACGGAATTATCTCACCAACAAAGTGCTTGTCCGTACACAAGGTCAAGAACGCATATCGCTATGTCAAACTCGGCCGGACCAATTTTCTTAGCTAAGTTCCAGTCAAATTTTGTTGTTATCAACCTATAATGTAATAAATACATGTTTTTGAAATTATTAAAGATCCTGTATGTTGTGATCAAAGTGGTAAACCATACCATGTGACATTATATATGTGTACATAATTATGCATATAAAACAATTTTAAAACATCGAAGAATATGTAAAATATGTACTGCAAATATTTATGCATATTATATGTAATCATTAAAATATATGCATTCATTTTTCATTGTAAAATTTGACTGAAATTTTAGAGAAAATAAATTTCTAATTACCTCCCTTTATTTACATGAAATGTTAAATTCGGTAATATCTTTATAAACAATGCTTTTTGGAACCTACATTACTGATAAAATTTAATTTGTGCATCATAATTATGATTTAAAACCATAAAAAATGTGTTACAGGCCAAAAGACCAATTATGACCGTATTTGCGCTTTTCGGATTGCTTCGGTCACCAGACCCATTTTATGGCTAAATTTAAACACACAGACGTCCGCCAATAATTCTGAACTCAAAGTTTTCAAAATTAAAACAAAGGGCCATGATGGCCCTTAATCCCCATCTGAGTAGGGGGTTCAAATGATCATTACACATTGGTAGAAACATCAATTTTACAAATTTTAGTGTGCAGGAGTTGATGTAAAAGTAACAAATTTGTTGAATTGATACCTTTCATATTATTATTACGTAATGGACTCTACACAAAGAATATTTACACTTTATCAAACTTTTAATTGGTAACTTAACTTTTTAAAAGTTTTTTATATTTAGCTCCGGCGACAATCTTGATCAGCAGACCGGAACCATTTGAGCAAATTTTAAAGAGGACCATCCAACATCAATTTATGCATATGTGTAGTTACATCAAAATCGACCCAATAGTTAAGGAGGAATTGTTGTTTAAAGGAATTTCTAATTTTATCTCTGGCAGTCATTCTATTCAAGGCTTTGAACGAAACAAAACGTTCAGCAGACCGGAACCATTTTTACAGAACACTAGCCAAGCATCATTCATGAACAGTTACTGTTCAAAATTTTTTTCTTTCTATTATTAGCTGTGGAAGCCGTTTTGTTCAGCAGACCTTAATCATTTGAGTATTTTTATATAAAACTAGTCAAGGATCATTCATGTACAGTTTCATCAAAAGCTACCAATCAATTTAAGGAACAGATGCCGTTAAAGGTGTTTTTTCTCTCTATTTTTTGCTCTGGCGGCTATCTTGTTCAACAGAGCAAACTTTTGGAGGAGACCAGCCAAGGAGGTTAAAGAGGAGATCACACACATAATTGACAGCATTATAGATTAATCAATCATTGTGGTCGGATTTTAGGACACTTAAATAATATAATAAAAATTAAATCAAACTTTCATATTATTACAATACATTTTTATAAAGCCGATTACGTGTAAAGTCATTTTTTATTTATTTTACAAATCTTCAGATAATTAAGCAAAATCACATTTGTTTATGAAAATGGTAAAATACTTACAAGTTCAAGTACAAATTTAGAAAAGGTATCGTGAAGAAAAATGATTTTGAATGTATATATTCATAACTTCCTCCAAACTAAAAAGTTCTCTGAGTTTGCAACTTATTTTCAATATCATTGTAAATTTTTGTTGTTATCATTGGAATGTTTGTTATAATTTATCCTTGACATCACCTAAAGTCAGTTATATATCGCTGTATACAGAATAACCTCTGCAGTGCAACGCCGTTTCGGAGACATTTATAAAATGTTGGTGGTTGCTGGGAATGTTGCTCTAATGAGGCTAGATTTGGTGTCAAGTCTCACATCTGGAAGATTTGCGACTATTGTTGTAAAGAGTTATTAATTGTTCTACAGAGGGTCGTTTTACAGAGAGTGCAGTTTATATGTATATTCAATTAGTAAGCTTGCCATCATTTGGTTCGACGCAATACGCAATTATGATCAATTACTTAAAGATATACTATGCTCAAATTCGATATTTAAAATATTGATAATTGCTACAGTCTCTTTATTAATAAACATGTTTTGACTTCACACAAAGTAGATATGTTATGTTTAAAATTCTACATAAGTGGTCACAATATGAATATATAGTGTCATTAAAAAGCAGTCGGGCTCTAAACGTTTGGTCCGCTTAAATAATAGAATATTCTCATTCATGATATTTTTGTTCTTACTTTCTTGGTAATTCGTATAGAAGCGTCAGCAATATATCACATGCAAACTCAACCACAAAGAACTTGTAGATCTGTTGTCCGAAATATGTCTCCCAGCACTAAAAATATTGAATGAGCTTTTAATAGACTTTAACAAAAATGATACTTAAAATAAGTATGTTGACCACTGATTTTATTTTTATAACGAAATCGGTTTTATATAGAAAATCTACACTTCAGAAATTTATTTTCTACAAGAATGATGCCAAAATATCCTCCAAAATACATCTACTTAGCATGCCTCAAACATACATGGTCATCTAAGAAAACATCACGTGACCCGGTAATTAAAAAGGCCTAAAAAGTACTACATGTATCTGAATATCCTATACATAAAATGTTAAATTAAACACGTTTCCTCTAGTGTCTTCATTTCCTTATAAAGTCTTTAAACTAATATACATAAATTTCTTAAACTTTGCATGATTAAAAAGAATCACAATTGACACAAATTTATGAGAGAAAAAAAAATATTCGTGATCTCCATAAGTCTTTTTGAGTTATCCGCCCCTGAATGAGTTGCAAATTTTCAAAGCAGATTACTCAAAACTGTAGCAAACAACTCCTGTTTTAAAACGTGTTTTTACTTTATCTCTAAACCTGGGGCAACTTTTCTGAAAATTTTAAAATTTCAAAAAGATTTTTTTTCTCCTGTTTTGCCACCTTTTAAAAAAAATGACAATATATTTACTCGTGAAGTAAAAGGGAAAAAAGTACTGTTGCTTTTATAAGTATTTAAAAAAAACTTTTCAAAAGAATTAGAAATAGTTTGAAATAAAAAAAAGGGATCGGGGTTTTCGTTTTGTGCAAAACTGTCCTTGAAATGAAATTAAAAAGGGAAAAAACAGATAAAATTTAAAAAAAGGAAGGAGACGGGAAAAGGTTTAAGATAATAAAACGGGGTACAAACTTTTATTTGCTGGCATTTTTCCCGTCCAATGTTCATTCGTTGTGTTGAAAACGTACTTCCCACCTAAAAAGGGCTGTAAAAAACCATTAGTTTCAGCCAGGGCGTACCCAAAATACAAACTCTGTGAAATATTATAAAATCAATAATAAAAATACTCAACTTTTCACAAATGATACAATTTTACTGACAGTACAATTTCGTTTTCCAGAAAATATGTTTACACTGAAAAAATAACCAGGATGCATTAACTATTAATAATATAACGTGTTACGAGATTGGTATTACTTTCAATAAGAACACCCTTTGTCACATAGCATATGGTGTCACAAAGCATCCTGTCACCATGGCATGACGTGAGCGAAACTTTATATTTAAGTTTCCTACAAAATATAAAAGAAGACGTACCGAAGTAGAGTTATTTGGATGAGTGACGATGGTCGGTATTTCTCTAGTCTTGCTAGAAGCAGGAATATTATAGGATAAATGGCGTTCACTGAAGCTATAAGTAATGATGGTAAAAACTGAACGAACAGACGGACAACCATATTGTATTCCTCCTTTTTGTCACTTGTTATGAACTGTAAATAAAATAAATTGTTGTCAAGGCGGTCTATCTTTCAAGCAAGGTGTCCGCTTATGCCTAGTTTCTGAACTTAGAATTGATAAATAAATGAATGTACTGCGACGCCTAGTTTAATTTTAAGTTGACTGTATATGCTTTACTCTTAAGAAATCCATATACGGTAAACTACATGTACTAGTAAACTGTAGCAACGTGATTAGATTGCTGTTAACTTACTGGAATAAATCATTTTATAATATTCAACATCTCTCATTGTTTTCAGCGTTATTTATTCAGGGCAAATTCTTAGCATAGGGTGATATGACGAAAATAATAATCATTTGTTAAAAAAAATATGAAATCGTGCTTATCATCATTACGTTTGAGGAGAAAGTCTGAGCAAAGTAGATTGCGGCTGCAGTGGCCCCTAGCAAAATCAGAATAAGAACGTTGACAGCAATACGTATAACCCATAGACAGAAACGAGCACAGCTTGAACTTTCCTTCTTCTCTATTTCATGTTTCTGATCTTCTAATGCTCCCTGAAATATATTCGACTTGAAAATACATTAATTCACTACATGCACTTACATTTGAATACTTAAACCCATTCATACCATTGATACATTTCTTGCTGATAAATTTTTAAAGCATTTATTATTTGAAAAAGGGAAATAATTTGTACTAACAATATGCAGCTGTGTTAAACGTTATACATTAATGTATACAATCTTACAAATAATTAATAAAGACAGCATGATGAAAGTACGGAAGAGCATTAGTGCCAGGTGTATGTTTTTTATTAACTCGAAATTTCGAGTTACTTACTCGAAATTTCGACTTAGTAACTCGAAATTTCGACTTATCTCAAAATTTCGAGTTACTAACCCGAAATTTCGACTTACTATCTCGAAATTTCGAGTTACTAACTCGAAATTTCGACTTACTAACTCGAAATTTCGACTTAGTAACTCGAAATTTCGAGTTACTTATCTCGAAATTTCGACTTAGTAACTCGAAATTTCGACTTACTAACCCGAAATTTCGACTTATTAACTCGAAATTTCGACATACTAACTCGAAATTTCGAGTTACTTATCTCGAAATTTCGACTTAGTAACTCGAAATTTCGACTTAGTAACTCGAAATTTCGACTTATTAACATTACAAGAATGGCCAAAGTTATTAGTTAGATGATATAAGATATAGTAGGGAGTGCCGTTGAACGATGGAGATGGAGGAACGGGTGCCTGGACAAAAACTATTGAAATGAAACTTAAACTTAGTAATGGCATGTACACACCCGACCTAAAAAACACAAGGCTTCCTTTAATTTGTACGTTCAGGCGTTCTTCACACGTTGTATTGTATCCCATCTGTTCGAACATATCTTTTCGCTAATCATATTCTTCTCATCCCTGTGAATAAAACGATCCTATACTTCACGTGTGGGACATCTGAGGAAAGTATCGCGGCGCGGCCAAAATAGGGCGTGCTGAGGCCTTTGTCAAAATTGTTGGACTGACTATATTTCTTGTAAAATCGGATGCTTTTCTATTATTCCAATCATATATATAACAACAAGTTCCACTTTTATCAACTTTTATCAACACAATATGAATCAAAGTATTAGTAAATAATGAATAATGTTACAAAAACATTATTAGTATAAAGAAACGTGACAGACTAACTGGCGTATACACGCCATTTAAAACTTATTTAACACATGATATTGCACAGTTTACAATAGGGTAGGTTTTTGGACTTGTTGTTTCTCTACATGATGGTTGTATGTGTGCTTAAGAAAAAGAAACATCCGGTTAACACGGAAATGTGGAAAGTGTGATTTTACACCCCCACCCTCCACAATAAGCGAAACATATGGACAATTTGACCCTATTAAATTGCTCTGTCAAATAAATGTTAAAGGTGCTCTATCAATGTGCAACGGCTAAACACTAAAGAAAGCATCTTGAATTCAATCCTTGCTTTCACCGGCAACCAATGAAAGTCGTGCAATGTAAGTCGAAATTTCGAGTTACTAAGTCGAAATTTCGAGTTACTAAGTCGAAATTTCGAGTTATTAAGTCGAAATTTCGAGATAAGTAACTCGAAATTTCGAGTTAGTATGTCGAAATTTCGAGTTAATAAGTCGAAATTTCGGGTTATTAAGTCGAAATTTCGAGATAAGTAACTCGAAATTTCGAGTTAGTATGTCGAAATTTCGAGTTAATAAGTCGAAATTTCGGGTTAGTAAGTCGAAATTTCGAGTTAGTAACTCGAAATTTCGAGATAAGTAAGTCGAAATTTCGAGTTCGTAAGTCGAAATTTCGAGTTAGTAACTCGAAATTTCGAGTTAGTAACTCGAAATTTCGAGATAAGTAAGTCGAAATTTCGAGTTAGTAACTCGAAATTTCGAGATAATAAAAAACATACACTTGGCACTAATGCTCTTCCGTATGAAAGAGTATCATACTGTTAATATTTCTTTGATGAGTTATTGTTTGCTTTGATCGGCTGTTGTTGCAAGTTGCAGCTGGTTGCGGCCATTTCAAACCCGCGAGTAATATTATCGTTTTAATATAAAACTTACAAACCCGCGAGATTTTCTGCCGAAATCGTACAAAATGTCGCGGGGAACGTATTGACCCCAATGTTTTATAACAGTTGTTGAAATCAGCAAGCAACTTTTTGACTATCGTCCATGGTTTGATCCTAAATTTTATCCCTCGGCTGTCTATAAAAAGCCGATGAACAGAAAGAAATCCGCAATATTTTTGTTAGTGTTAGAGAAATTCTACAAAAAGTCAATGGAAAAGATTATAGGCCGCGATTTTTTGTCTCATAAAATATCGCGGCGAGGAAAGCTGAGATTTATTATCCCGTCATATTTAGTCGAGGCTTAAAGCTTAAGCTCGACTTTTTACAAGGTATGCATCAAAACAAAATATCGGGGATTACAATCGGCCACCTAAAGGAGGCATATGTTTGCGTGGCTTAGTCTGCTATGTAGACAGAAAATGTCGCGGTTTCCTCCATAAAACTCGACTTTTACGATAGAAGAGTGACAGAAAAACTCGAGAGTTTCTAAAGGCCACGATATTTTACACAAGTTCGAGAGAGAAAAATACAACTAGAGCTATCACTAAAGGTGATTAATACCCCCACCAGCAACTTTGAATTTTTAAAAATAAGTGTTCTGAAGAAAAATATAAACTTGCTTTATACTAAATTTGAGTATAATATCTCTTTCCTAACTCTAGTTCTTCTCCGAAACCATTTTTCTATTTCTGGTCATAGTGACCCTTGACCCTAAGGGGTCCAAATACAATCCCGAGCGTGGTTTCCACACAAGGTTGATTAATACCAAGTTTGATTACAATAACTCATTCTTAACTGATGTTATCGTCCATAAACCATTTTTCTATTTTTAGTAACAGTGAGCTTGACCCCCAGGGGTCAAAAAAGCAAACACAATCGGGGTCCTCATATAAGTTTGCAATAAAAAAAAAAGTTTGATTACAATATCTCATTCCTAACTCTAGTTATTGTCCGGAAACCATTTTTCTATTTTTAGTTACGGTGACATTGACCTTGATCCAGGGAGTCCAAATGCAATATCGACCGGGGTCATCATATAAGGTTGCTATAGACCAAGTATGGCTTAAAGCTCAATCTCGACTTTTTACAAAGTATGCATCAAAACAAAAATATTGCGGATTACAATGGCCGCAATCGGCCACCTAAAGAAGGCATAAATTATGTTTACGTGGCTTAGTCTACTATGTAGACAGAAAATGTCGCGGTTTCCTCCGTAAAACTCGACTATTACGATAGAAGGGTCACAGAAAAACTCGAGCGTTTCTGTGAGCAGCGACATTTTATACAATTTTGACATAAAATAATGCCATTTTATAAACTGACGGTAAAGTTTTTCGTGGCTTTAAAATGAACGTTACCAGTCACCAATAAAAACTTCTTACACAAAATCTTTGGAATATGTGTCTATGTTGAAGAGGTACAGATTTTTCTTCAAATATCCGGTAGTCCCATCCGCAGCAGACGGAAATGAAGAAAGCAGAAGAATTGTGTGACGCTATGTCAGTAGATACTATAGTATCTGTGTACTTCGTAAACGTGCTGGATGAAACATAAAAGTGATGATGATGCAAAAAAAAATGGTAGAATGCAAAAAAATAAATATTTTTATTTAATCAAATATCTGGAAACATTTAATATAACTTCTATTTTATTTATATATGAATACTGATTTCAATAATTATCATTTTACTAACGATCCACTGCTTATGTCTTAATTAATTTAAACACTTTTCAGTAAAGCAGCATGCCTCCAGAGTAATGATATTTTCTAAAAAATTTGAAAATGTACTTAAAAGTAAAATGTTGTGAAGATAACAAGGAAAGTAATTAACACATTGCAAACGACACATACAACCACATAAATTACCAAAGGTCAAATTATCAAAAAACCCCTTTAAAATTGTTTTTTAGTAAGGGAAAGTAGAAAAAATTAAAATAATAAAAACTGCAAAACATTTTATTTAAAGCACAAATGTACATTTTTTACTTAAATTTCTTAAAAAATTTTTTAATTTTAAAAAGAAAACGGGTGACCTAAAACCTTGATCCAAAGGGGTCGTAATTCAATACCAGCCAGGGTTTCCATATACCAAGTCTGCCTACAATACCTCATTCAAAACTCCAGTTATCGTACGGAAACTATGAAATGGACCGACCGACCGAACATATGTTATGTTTTTAAGTATTTCAAATAATAGTAAAAATGTTCAATGTTACCAAAATTGCCTTCGTTATTCAAAATTGATATTTGTTATACAAGCAAAATAGAAAAGGTGATACGTACTAATGAACCATCACGAAGAGACTGACGATCAATATGATTAAAGTTGTTAAGCAATATGCTAATGGAATATTGTACTCTCCACCCGGAATTGATACCTCAGTGTTGCCATAGTAACCATAAAAAAACGATGTCGTCTCCATCCAGCCCTGGAAATAAAATTGTGAACGCATATCTCTTGAATACCTATACTTTTGCCCGATAGAGTTATTAAAAATATCGTATGACACTGCTTTGGCACAAAAGTCTTAATATTAACTATTCAAACTACACCGGGCTAAGAATGCATCCCATTGGCAGTTCTTCGTATATGTATATATATATAATTATATTATTTTCGATCATATGGAAGATTATAGATAGAGCCAAAACAGTAAGTAGGGACAAGTGGTATTCAGTCAAAGAATAATCAATAATGAGATTAGTTCCCTACTAAACAAGAACCGGTTGAACCGGTTGATGCTCCCCGAGAAGGTTCTGGACACAGGAAAGTATAAAAAAATGAACAAAGGGCAAAAACTCCAAAATTAGGCAAGGCGGAGTTATGTTTTTTTGCACTGCACTTCTATTCAATGAGATCTATCTATCTATAAAGTTTCCTGATGATATCAGAGTTATGTCTCGGGTAAAATTCAAAGTGTAAAAATGAACAAAGGGCAATAACTCCAAAATTAGACCAGGCTTTGTTTAGGTTCTTTAAACATTGCAGTTCTATCCAATTATTTCTAGCTACCTACAAAGTTTCATGTTGATATCTCTAATAGTTTTAAAGTTATGTCCCGGACAAAAGTCAAAAAGTAAAAATAAACAAAGGGCAATAACTTCAAAATAAGGCAAGGCAGAGTAATTATTCTTAAGCACTGCACTTCCACCCAATGAGACCTATCTATCTACAAGGTTTCATGTTGATATCTCTTGTAATTTTAGAGTAATGTCCCAGACAAAGTTCAAAGTGTCAAAATGAACAAAGGGCAATAACTCCAAAAGTAGGCAAGACAGTGTTACAGTTCTTGTGCACTGCAAACCTACTTAATGAGATCTATCTACCTACAAAGTTTCATGTTTGATACCTCTTATAGTTTTAGAGTTATGTCCCCTGGACAAAGTTCATAGTGTGAAAATAAACAAAGGGTGATAATTAAAAAAATAGACAAGGCAGAGTTTACGGTTCTTGTGCACTGCACACCTACTTAATGAGATCTTTCTACCTACAAAGTTTCATGTTGATACCTCTTATACATTAAGAATTATGTCCCGGACACAGTTCAAAGTGTAAAAATTAAACAAAGGGGGATAATTAAAAAAATAGGCAAGGCAGAGTTACGGTTCTTGTGCACTGCACACCTACTCAATGAGATCTATCTACCTACAAAGTTTCATGATGATACCTATTATAGTTTTTAGAGTTATGTCCTGGACAAAGTTTTTAAATTTTAAAAAATAAAAAACAAAGGGGGAAAATTCCAAAAAATTAGGGGCAAGGAAAAGATTCCCGGTTTTTCCTTGGGTCACCTGCCACCTATCTTTTGAAAATTAAAATTCTACCTTACAAAGAAAAAAATGTTAAAAATTTCCCTTTTCTTTATTTTTAGAAACTTTTTTTTCCCCCGGAAAAAAAGTAAAAAGTTAAAAATAACAAAGGGGGAAAAAATAATTTCATAAAATTTTAAGGAAAATTTGCGAGTTAAGGTTTTTGGGTGCACGGCAACCTTCCCTTCAATGGATATCTATTTTTTACCTTTTTAAAGTTTATTTTTGATATTTTTTGTTTCAATTTTTGCCCCAGAAAAAAAAAGGGGAACAAAAGGGAGGAGGGAGGGAAAAGGGGAGGGCGACGAGGGGACCGGGACGGACGGCCCCCGGGACAAGGGGGCGGCGACTTTTGGTTTGCTCCCGGGAAAATTTTTCGTGGGAAAAGCTTTTAATAACACATGTTTTTTAAAAGGAATGATAAAAAATTTAAATTTTTAATAAAAATTCGTATAATTTTCGAAATAATAGGGGAAATAACAAACGCGGGACGGTACATACTTTTCCCTTGAAATCAAATCGGGGGAAGTTAAAAAGCCAAAAGTCTTTTTTCACATGGTATCTACCCCTTTGCAATTTTTGAGAAAAAAATGCCCCCGGGAACTCTGGGGTGTTTGTTGTCAAAAACCTGTCGTTTTCCTTGTTAAAACCCCGTACTGTCAAATTTTAAATTTTGGAAGAAAAACGACAACATTTTGACCCTTTTGTGAGGAAAATAAACATTAAAAATAGGAGGAACTTTAAAAAATACAAAGTAGGGAGAAAAAAAAAAACCCCCCCCCCCTTGGTTTGACCTGGGGGAAAAAAAAAAATGTGTTCCTTATTCAAGGAATTGCTCGAGGTGTTCATTATATTACTCTCTAAATAATCGTTACATAGAATTTATCAATTCTCACAGTTCGTGATGTATGTGGGCAGCAAAAATGAGCAAATGTATTACTATCAATTTTATGTTTATAATCCTGCAACATCGCTTTTCATAATCGTTTCGTTTATATTATTAAGAGATAAATACACGGCAGAGTAGGGCTTATCACTATGACGTGTATTATTGTCATTAATTCACCTGATCTAAAAGTAGCATAAAAAATGCTTTGATATTTCTTTCGTTGAAATTCCTGTCTCTGTAAATTTCTTCTGTACAGTACAGTAATTTCTAGACTACCGAGTTCATTAATTCCCTTATGCTTATACATACATAGTAGTACACTAGAATCAAGAAAAAAGTTTTATTTTTCTCGGAATAAATTAGTCGTGTTTTTCGTTAAATTTCACTAAAACTGTGTTTGTACGAAATACGGCATAAAATCAAGCGATTCATGCTCATTTTTACAGCAAGTTGTTTTGTTGACTAAAATGTGACGTCATTGTTGTACTCATGTATGATTTTAAGTTTTCGGCCCCGAGCCGCAAACTCATAAACGGCAATGTGACACTCATTATCAATTGAAATCAGAAGCAATTTTGTTACTATATATAGTAACAAGTGCATTAATAGTTACAAAGATTTTTTTATACAGGTTGTTTGTCTCTATATAATCTTTTTTTTTGCAAACAACCGTTTATATAGATCTTCGGTCATATAACCTGCTAGAAAATTTTTGTAACGAATTTATAATACAGCAAACTACTTTTTTTTTAGAAAAACACCCGGAAATTTCTTCATAAAATGACATCACCCGTGCATATATAGCCTCATAAACGTCATGATAATCCAATAAAAAGCGACGTTACAAACGTGCAGTATATAGAGGATATTGACTGAGTTTTTTGTTTTAATACTTTAATTTATTTTACCAGTTTTAAAGAAATAAAAATTATCTCGCCCCCCTTTTTTCATTTTTTTTTTAAAAGTACTTGCTGTATTTTTTATATGCGTTATACATAAAATTAAAGATTTTTAGGGCAGCTTATAAAGGGCCCTTTTATAAACGGTAAAAAATCTTTATTATTTAAAAACATGTTTGGTAATAATTTTTACTGTAAATTTTTAAACCCAAAAGGAAAAAAAAATAACTTTTGAAAAAGTTGTTTTTTTTTACCCTTTTAAAATTTTAGGGTTTTTTTTTACGTTTTTTAAATTTAACCTTTTCTTAAAAAAGGGGGTTTAGAATGTCTCAAAAGCTTTCCATTGATGCCCTCCATTCTCCCCCATGACAACTTTTATACTGTTCAATCTCTATAAATTGTAAACCAGTTCTTTACTGACTTTAAATGTTAATTACAGAATTAAGCCTATTTCTATGGAAAATGTTATCTCTTTTAAGCTGTTTCTGGTAAAGATAAGCAGATTTATATTATATACTTATAAATGAAATATTGATGGAATAAATTGCGTATTTTCATTTTTCCGTATTTTCAACTGTAAAAATTTATTTTTTAAGTGAAACATATTTTCCATATTTTCACTGATATCTTGCCGGACTACTTTCTTCTTAATTCAGCCAATATACAAAAATTAAGTGAAAATCTTTCAAATTGTAAATGTCAAAGAAGACAAAAAATGTATATAATTAAACAGAAAATTCAAGTTTTTTTCCTTAAATACAGAATTTACTTTCATCTTGTGGTATGAAAATTATCATATTTCACTCGTGGCTACCGCCAATCATATAAATATTTATTTTCATACCACTCGATGAACTTAAATATTCTCTATATATGTACGTTAGAATTGTTCTCATAAAAAATACAAAATTAAAATAAAAAACACAAAATAATTTAATTATCCTATGTTATAGTTTCTACAAATCGATAGATAATGCGTAAGAAATTTCAGAGATTGTAATTAAGTTTTTAAGTTTTTTTGTTATTTCTTGTGTGTGCGTGCGTGCGTGTGCGTGTGAAATTTGACGCATAAGAGTTTTAGTTTCAAACGTACATTATCGTATTACCATTTTCTGTCGGTATTTCCAGCCCTTCCAGCCTCTTGTCGGATTCAAGTTTCCATTCAAACGCTTATCTCTGTAAAACAACAGCAAAATCAACACAGTTAAAAATTAAAATACATGTACATGCATAGCATCATTCTGTTGTTGATAAATTCATGTTCAAGCTTTTGTTCTTCTTCAAACTAATCGTTAATTAAGTGACTTGGGAAAATTGTGTGGGTGCAAAGGGCCCATCTTAAAGAATTTTAAAAAAGGGGAAACCCTTTTTTTGTCAAATCTTTTTTAACAAGTTTTGGGATCAATTTTATTTAATTTTATTATGTTTGGGTGCATCCTTATATTTAAATTAATGAAAATATATGTTTTTCTGGGCCCCCTTTTAAAAAGAGTCGCCCCAAACATTATACGAGTGCATTATTTAAAGTTTGGGGGAAACCAAAATTTCATTTTTATTGTCAATTAAACAATATCATGGGAAAAGGGCAGACTGACATAATAAAACTGTTATTATGACCCCTATTAAAACCCTTTAAAACATGTATATTTCATTTAAAGTTTCACATCGTATAAGGGAAAGATTGCATAAATAAAGGAAACATTGACATCATATATTGTTAAGTTGACTCTATATAAGGATGATTCCAAATACTATACTGGTATTTTGACTCTACTGTATATAAGGTTTGTTTCACACAATATACTGAAAAATGCACATCTTTTATTGATAGATTGGCATAATATAAGGAGACATTGACATAATATATTGTTGACTCTATATTAGAATTATTTCGTATAATATATTCATAACTTCACATCTTATAATGACAGACTGACATCATATAAGGTCAGATTGACATAATTAAGAGTTATTTGACCTTATATAAGGGTGGTTCCACATAATATATTCGAAAATGCACATCGTATAATGATAGATTAGCATCATGTAAAGACACATTGACGTCATATATTTAAGAAATAACATCGGCCGGAGAGGTGTATATCGGCTATTTAACACCGGTTTGGAGTTTTGATGCGTAGGAATTGACCACAAAGGCCGTAGGCCTGAGTGGTTAATTTTGTTATAAGACAGTGAAAAAAACGCGCATGCTTTACATAGGGTGCGTTCTTGCATGTATGTGTATGTGCGCGCGCGCGCGCGCGTGTGTGTGTGTGTGTGTGTGCGCGCGCGCGCGTGCGTATGCGCGTGCCTGTGCGTGTGTGCTGATTCTATATTGTGTTGACAAAGTGACTAGTTATGAATGATCCTTTTTGAATTTAAAATGTTATAAGTTGCTAATGATTTTGTTTTATATTTGAACAGTTACTACATGTGATTTTTTAGGTTATATTAATAAAATGATACTGTATGAGCTTTAGTTGAGAGAGTAGCTAGTGGTGAATGTTAAATATATTAATTATAATATAAAGCTGCATGGTTATCCTTTTAATCAAGCGTTCGTATGTTTCTTTAAGCTTATTCATTTGTATAGTTGTAGTAAAATTAAATTTGTAAAGTTGTAGTTAAATTATATAGAATTTTGTTTCTGTTTTATTACAATTTCCATTTTCTATATTTACATATATTTTGTAATGTCGTATTGTACAAACTGTAGAAATCGCATTAATATACAATCAAATTTAACTTTTCATTTTATTCCAAAATAGCGGTTTAATCTTCCTCCAAATATTTTGGATAGAAAAACCTTAATAACTAGGCCAGTAACAATGCCTGTCACGAAAACATTTGATCTGTATTAAAATTAAATACGTCTTAATCTTTTATATAGGATTTACACTTGTACTTATTATATATATGTGTACATTTCAAGTACATTTTGTAGTTTCTTTTACAACATTTATGTACTAACATGTCACTTTAGATATTTGAACTATGTATCTAAAATCTACCTTAAATCTACTTAATATAACTTGAATTTATGTATTGGCTTTCAACATATGACCAACTGCTTGTATCATAAATATGTTATATTATAGCACTTTGCTACATAACATTGTTATAATAGTTCTTATCACGGTATGTTAGCGTGCAATTCCAAAATGATGAAAATACTTAAACAGGTTATAAAGAAAATCACGTTGAATTTTGTATATGAAAACTAAATATCTGTTGGTTTTTTGTTTTTGTTGTTGTTTTTTGTTGTTGTTTTTTTTCGTATTAAATATAGAAAAATAACAGCAAAGCTTTAAAGCAAAAAAAAGGAGGGAAATAAATTTTCTGTTCTGCTTAAAGCAATGTTTCATTAAGCGATAATCGGCCCGCAAAATTAATAATGCCCTCGGGGCCATTATAAAATTGTACTTTTTCACTTATTTTCAATAAATCTCTGTTGTTCAAAATAACACTTAAGCCGATTTCGGCCCCGATTATATTCACATTACTATGTTGGTGTATTATGATAACGACATTTTATATCAACATTACTATGGTGGTGCATCATGATAACAACATTTTATATCAACATTACTATGGTAGTGTATTATGATAACAACATTTTATATCAAGATTACTATGGTGGTGTATTATGATAACGACATTTTATATCAACATTACTATGGTGGTGTATTATGATAACGACATTTTATATCAACATTACTATGCTGGTGCATCATGATAACGACATTTTATATCAACATTACTAAAGTAGTGTATTATAATAACGACATTTTATATCAACATTACTATGGTGGTGTATTATAATAACGACATTTTATATCAACATTACTATGGTAGTGTATCATGATAACGATATTTTATATCAACATTACTATGGTAGTGTATTATGATAACGACATTTATATCAACATTACTATGGTGGTGTATTATAATAACGGACATTTTATATCAACATTACTATGGTAGTGTATTATGATAACGACATTTTATATCAACATTACTATGGTGGTGTATTATAATACGACATTTTATATCAACATTACTATGGTAGTGTATTATGATAACGACATTTTATATCAACATTTACTATGGTGGTGTATTATAATAACGACATTTTATAATCAAACATTACTATATGGTAGTGTATTATGATAACGACATTTTATATCAACATTACTATGGTGGTGTATTATAATAACGACATTTTATATCAAATTAGCTATGGTGGTGTAATTATAATAACGACATTTTTATATCAACATTACTATGGTGGTGTAGTTATAATAAACGACATTTTATATCAACATTACTATGGTCAGTGTATCCATGATAACGATATTTTATATCAACATTACTATGGTAGTGTATTATGATAACGACATTTTATTATCAACATTACTATCTTGGTGCATCATGATAACGAACATTTTATATCAACATTACTATGGTGGTAGTATTTATGATAACGACATTTTTATATCAACATTACATATGATGGTGCATCACATTGATAACGACATTTTATATCAACATTACTATGGTGGTGCATCATGATAGGGACATTTTATATCAACATTGCTATGGTAGTGTATTATGATAACGACATTTTATATCAACATTACTATGGTAGTGTATTATGATAACGACATTTTATATCAACATTACTATGGTGGTGTATTATGATAACGACATTTTATATCAACATTACTATGGTGGTGTATTATGATAACGACATTTTATATCAACATTACTATGGTAGTGTATTATGATAACGACATTTTATATCAACATTACTATGGTGGTGTATTATAATAACGACATTTTATATCAACATTACTATGGTGGTGTATTATGATAACGACATTTTATATCAACATTACTATGGTGGTGTATTATGATAACGACATTTTATATCAACATTACTATGGTGGTGTATTATGATAACGACATTTTAAATAAATCACTTTTCTATGGTAAGTGTATTATGATAACGACATTTTTATATCAACATTACTATTAGTAAGTGTATTATGATAACGACATTTTATATCAACATTACTATGGTGTTTTTTTTATGATAACGACATTTTATATCAACATTACTATGGTGGTTTTTTTATGATAACGACATTTTATATCAACATTACTATGGTGGTTTTTTTTATGATAACGACATTTTATATCAACATTACTATGGTGGTGTATTATGATAACGACATTTTATATCAACATTACTATGGTGGTGTATTATGATAACGACATTTTATATCAACATTACTATGGTAGTATATTATGATATCGACATTTTATATCAACATTACTGTCTTGGTGCATCATGATAACGACATTTTATATCAACATTACCATGGTGGTGCATCATGATAACGACATTTTATATCAACATTACTATAATGGTGCATCATGATAACGACATTTTATATCAACATTACTATGATGGTGCATCATGATAACGACATTTTATATCAACATTACGATGGTAGTGTATTATGATAACGACATTTTATATCAACATTACTATGGTGGTGTATTATGATAACGACATTTTACATCAACATTACTATGGTGGTGTATTATTATAAAGACATTTTATATCAACATTACTATGGTGGTTTTTTTATGATAACGACATTTTATATCAACATTACTATGGTGGTGTATTATGATAACGACATTTTATCATTACTATGGTAGTGTATTATGATTACGACATTTTATATCAATATTACTATGGTGGTGTATCATGATAACACCATTTTACATCAACATTAATACGGTTATGCATCATAAAACATTAAAATGATATGTTATCATAATAAAAAAAATGATATGAAATGTTACCATAATACACATTATAATAACCACTTTTTATATCATCATTAATATTACGTTGAATTAACTGTATCAACTGGCGTATTATAATAACGACATATATAAGCCAAGTTAGACTCCATAATTTGATACTGATGCAATAAATCAACAAATAACACTCTTAACGTCACACTCCACTTACCTTTTCCTTTCCCACAGAAATGGAGTCCATGCATGTCTCTTATTGAAAACCCTCTTCTCCACGTATGCCGCATAGTTATCCGAGCCAGGTTCGAAGGAACGCCGCCGTCGTCGACGTAAGGTTGATTCTGAATTTCCACCAGTTTCAGAAAACGTAGTGTTTTGTTGGCCGTATGCCGACTGTCCATTATTATCAGTCGTCTGATCGTGCCAGTCCGAGCTTTCTATATCTGCTAGTTGAAGTTGGTACCCGTCCTGGGTTGGACTTACCCGTGTCATGTTGAGGCTCTAATACTTAGAATTCCAGAAGATTCTAATCGTATTAGAAAACATCCTTGGTTTCAATTTCGCTCGTTTTATCAATATATAGCCTAGCTTTAGCCGTAAAATCAAGTGATCTACAAACTTTTATAAATTACAATCACTTATTATTTGCATACAAATATAATCCTCCACATTTGGTACTTTTACGCATTTGATCCGTGCTAACTTTGACAATTAATTCAAATGGATTTTAATACCCACTAAAAAGATTCAGAAATATCCGCTTAAAAATAAGTCAGTAAATACTAAATGCACTAACTTACATCGAGGACTGCTTGGCACACAAAGCAATGGACATCCGCTTAATATATAATGATATTAAGCTTGGGCCTCGGAAATAGAAATATAGTTATCTGGTCCCAGTCAGTGAAGAAGACAATAACAAGAAAAATATTACATACATTCGTAGGTAATATAGGTACGATTGCATACTACTTTTTATGAAGACTTTTTTTGCTTGCTGCATTATAGGTGTAATGTAAAATGAACAAACATGTCTTGAGATATTTTTGTATCTTTAAACATTTTCATGGAATGTAATAACTAATTAATGTATCATCATATTAAAGTTGCATGCCTTCAGATGAGAAAAATGATTTCAAGGAAATCAAAATATGAAAAGAAAATTCACGGTCAATTGACTGCTTTGAAGCATAATCACAGAATAAAATTACAGGAAATTAAAAACCTTTTTAATACACTAAAGGTAGAATTTCATTGTAAGTCATAGTCGCAGATTTGAGATATGATTATTTATTCATATTAACATCATTATTGGTTATATATTGATAAAAAAAACCCGAAAGACACAGTTTGTAAATAGTTATTACAATAAAATATGAAAAAAGGTATTTTCCATCCTATGCGACGCGCCGAGGTTAGCTATATTTATAATTCCCGCGCTAAGTCGCGGTGGTGCTTGGGATAATCACTTGATACTGGAAATGGCAGCCATTTTACGATACGAAAATGCCTGGCCCTCCTCGGACAGTTAATCCTGCCGAAAAGATATGAAAAAATACTTGCAATTCAATGTTTGTTTGCTACATAAAGATTATCGATTTACTCTTTGCAAACTTTTTCTCTGCCTGATTGTAATAATATTGATGTGTTTTCATCACGTTATCAATACACATAAAGGTGTGAACTAATTTCGTGTTTATTAAAATTATTCCGTAAATAGACATATAACAATCTTATTTACAAATGAATTGATAAAATATCAATCCCAGAAGCGTTTAAGATAATAACACTCATTGGAAAAAAATAAATGCATATAAATTGTAAATTTGTGTATGACAACTCACCCCCTAAACAAAACTTAATAGACTCAACCAAAACAAGCGTCTGCTTCTTAACCTAACTATGTAGTTGCATGACCATGATTAGAAATAGCAAACCAAATGTAAGAGGTAAACCTATTCTAAAAATAATACAAGTAAAACGGTTTCCTGCGGGGAACATATTAATGATATAAAGATATTTCATTTAACTATTTTCAACATTGTTTGGGGGGGGATAAATAAACGTTGGTATCAGAAATATATTTGACAATAATCGATCAATATAGAAGAAGGTCTTTGGCAACTGGTGACCGTTGATGACCATAAAACAATTATTTCTTTTAAAGAAAATGATTAAATAGGCCTACCATTTTATGAATAATTCCGAGCAAAAAAATATAAAATAAAGTAAACACACAAGTCTTCGCAGCAAATATCTCTATTTATTATGACAGATGCCACTACGAATATTTTAATTTTGTAGATTTTCAGTATAAACAATTTATTGTTTGTAACATTTTGAGATACATATTAAAGAAACATTGTTAATTTTCAAACACATCATTCAATTTTTTCCACCTTAAAGGGTAAACTAGTTATAGAAAATTAAAAATATCACGTAATAGTTTTTTTTGTTCTTAATTAGGTGTAATTCTGACTGATTCCCTTGAGGATTATCCGTAACGTACCGGCAAACGGTATTTAGCCAGGTTTTCGAAAAGGTCAATTAACCAATCATGTACGGTTTAAAGATCACATGCTCCTCCATGTACCGAAAACAGGTCACGTGCTCCTCCTTGCCTCAAAAGTTAAACGCGTACCAATACCCTGCGGTCTCCAGACCGCAGGGAACTATGACCACAGCAGATTTCGTACAGAAAATGCCATCGTTGGTAACAGAAAATCAAAGAGCTGAAAGCACTGGATGCGACGGACAAGAAAAGGGAATTGCATGAATGCTGTCAAAAAGGAGCAAACATCAGTTATGTTGCACCAAAATTTCTATATTTACAAAGGGCAGTAAAATTCTAAGTCTGAGTTTGATGGGCTTGGATAGAGACTATGATCGTAAGGTTTCATGTGAATATTTTCTGTTTTCTTTCGAAAACTTTTAAATGAATACCACCAGTATATACAGGTCGTTCTAAAGATTGATTTGCTTGCAAAACTTTAACCAAGAATTTTCTAACCTCACAAAAGGCTATTACCCTGTTAAAATATGTGTTAGATTCATGGGGTTCACAGAATAACCTCTATTTATGATCCCGAAAACATAAACATTTGTATTTTGTTTCATATAAATGTTTTCAGTTCTGAAAAATGATGTTACATACTAAAACTTAAAGGACTCTACCGAGGTAATTTGGCATGACAAGTCTGGAAATGATTTTTCGATTAATGTTCCATTAGATGTAGGTCTAGCTCAATATTTTGCATGCAAAAGTTCAGATCATGCGCCCTCTCTGTTTTTCCAGAATAATTATTGTAATTGTGGTAAGTAACCCAAAATTGAAAAGCAATTCAACGCAGTTCTCTCAAATCAGGCTAAGAAAACCACAAAGTATGATTTACAATTTATTTCTGAGTATATTTCTTAAAGCTGCCCGCCTCCAGATGAGCCAAAACATTTCAAGAAATTCAATCTTTAGAAAAATATATTGAGATCTTAAGAAAAGTAAAAAGATTCAATATTTAATTAATAAAATTACATGTTATGTGTGATTAACGATTGATTTTGCACTTTTAATCACTATAATTCTACTGCGTTCTACTAACGCAGTAAGAGGTATTTATGTATATTTTGACATCTTCTTGGTAATTGGATTGTAAATGCCGTTTGCAATGTCTAAATTACTTTCTTTGTTCACTTCACAGTATTTTACTTTAAAATTCATTTTCAAAATTTTCATGAAAATTTGCATGAATCTCGAGGCATGCTGCTTTAAAAATCTTTTGCTTAAATTTCTGAGTTAAGTGTCCCAGCTGATCTATGGAAGACATTCAATTTTTGTTTTTAGGCTTTTGGTCCGCTTTGACTATATTTTTTTAGCTCACAGGGGGCCAATGATCAGTCAAAATCAGTGTCAGAGTAATTGTCCTTAGGTAATGACCTCTATTTATGGTCACGAAAATATGCATTAGGATTAAAATAAATACCTTCAGTAAGTTCACAAAGGGCCATAATTCAGTAAAACCCATTTTAGAGTTACGAGTTTTGGATAGATTTTGTTTTGGAAATTGACATCCAATTATGACCCCGAAGACATATATTTAGTTTAATACCTTTAGTACACATGATCATTAATCTCCAATGATATTACATGAGAATAATAAAGCAAGATTAATTTGGTTCAAAATGGTCCAAAACTCTGTCAAAAAAACATGCTAGAGTTATTGGCCTTACATCTCCTATTACGGGGTATCACGAAATTTGTTGCTTTACAAGCTGGCCGTTGCCCCAAAGTGGCATGCCAACGCGAACACTAACACCGAGATGAGAAGGTTAGCACCATTATTCTAGTTGAGCTAAAGAGTCCATTGGCTCCAGTCTTTTTTTTATACAAGTGACACGAAACCTTGCAATATTCAGAATTTATTTGTTCCATATTTGGTCACACATAAATTATTTTATTAGAAAGTAATATTTTCCTCAAGAATCAGGGGTATTTAAAGCTACATTAAATAAATTTCATAAAAACAGAAATGGCGACATTTTATAAATAAATTTGGTTTCATATCGACTCCAGATTTTATTTTGGTGTCAAGACAACCAAAATAAGTTTTATAAGCATAAAATATGGGCAACCTCATTGTGGCGAAATCAGAAGTACAATAATAATTATTTCTGTTTGCATGAGAAACTCCGCCCTCGGTTCATCCGCACATAAATATTAAAACAACAAACATGACTATGTCCAGCAGTTCTAATCTAACGGTATATTTCCGCATTGTAACGGATGTTTTCATATAAATTTAATCCTTTTTATGAGATGATTATTTTTTTCTGAACTACAGGCCTAGTTCACCGTGAAGCTAAAACGAGAAAAGTGTGTTTGCACAAGAAAATCTCATATTTACTGTGTTCCGGACAGCAACTTTAACAATGTGACGAAGCGCATACACGAGCTGATTATTGTCTTCATTTGCACGCTAAAATTCGTATACGAACTTTAGTGTTACCTTGCGGTTTTCCATTTATGAACAATATTTGATGAGATTTACAACATAACTGTTAAAAAGGTTTATGAAACTGTATAATGCTTGTTTTTTAAGCCGACGGCAAAATATTTTTACATATTAATTAATGTAACTTTAAAATACATGTGGTGGAAACATATTATGCAGACTATAAAATAGGTCAATATTTGTAAAGGGGGAGAGTAACATTCGAATAAACTTACTCTGTTATTACAGGACCGGACCATAAAATTTCGTCGGGGGGGGGGGGAGAGGGCATATGTTTGAAATGTCCAAACTGGGGGTTCCCCAAGGGACAAAATGATGTTAACTGGTGGCTTGTGGTGCATTTTAGGTGCACATTTTGAAACTGAAGTGTCTACATATTTTTTCAAAGAAATTACATATCATTTATGCAAAGTGGTAGAAAAAAGGTAGTGTCAGCATATATGTATAGTGTATAGTCTAGAGGCCATTTTTATATGTCGTCAAATTGCAAACCTGACTGAAAGAATTTTATGACAGGAAGCTAAGCTGGGGTCCAGGTTCCAATTAACAAGGACTTAGAATTATCTGATATTTTACTCTTAATGAGCATTTTTGATAGAAAAAAATCAGGCCAGGGTGTCCGGGGGGGGGGGGTGCTTCAGCTCCTTAAGCCCTCCGGTGAATCCGTGCCTGTTATTATCA